GGGTGCAAGGGCCAGAAGCAGGTGGGATTCTCAGACAGACATGGTGGAAAGGGGAAGAAACAGGAAGGAGGAGGTTTGCAACCTAAAACACCACACATAAAATCCATCTCCACCCAATTGTTGCCTTTCTGTTAACTTACAGCCAACTGCAGTTTAAAACTGAGGAGACCACTTTTTCCTTTCTTTCTTTCTTTCTTTTTTAAAGAGAGAGAGAGAGAGAGAGAGAGAATTTTTTTTTTAATATTTATTTTTTAGTTTCCGGCGGACACAACATCTTTGTTTGTATGTGGTGCTGAGGATCGAACCCGGGCCGCACGCATGCCAGGCGAGCACACTACTGCTTGAGCCACATCCCCAGTCCCACTTTTTTCTTTTTTGAACTGGAGATTTAACCAAGGGATGCTTTCCACTAAGCCACATCCCCACCCTTTTTTTTTTTTTTACTTTTTGAGACAAGGTCTCTCTAAGTTTCTTAGGCACTTGCTGAACTGCTGAGGCTGGCCTGGAAATTGTGATCCTTCCGCCTCAGCCTTCCAAGTCGCTGGGATTACAGTTGTGTGCCACTGCATCTGGCTGAAGGGATAAATTTTGATGGATGAGCTGAGATTGGGGAGCCTGAGCTGCTTTGGGAGGGTGGGTTGGTGAATGCCATTTAGTCAAGAAGGTACTGAGGATGCAACAAAGATGACATATGGAACTTTCTTTTCCTTTGAAGTAGTATAGGAATACCCTAGGCTGGGGTCTTCATGGCTGTATGAGCCAAGGATTAGGGACAAACTAGAATTGGAAATTTCTGAATCAAACATGAACTGGCTGCCAATCAAAATCTGGAAGGGGAAATTTATCACCCACCTAAAGGTTCTAGTATTTTTTAGACTGTCTAGCCAGTCATTATTCCAACCAATATATATTGAATGCCTGCTCTATGGCTGGCACTATGATGAAAAACTATGTTTGTCTATTTAAGGCATCTGCATATATTTGTTATGTTCGTCTTTAGTTTCAAATCTCTATTGCAGGCCTTTATTAAAAAGGGCCTTGACAACTTGAGAGAGGAAAAAAAAAATCCCATGAACATTAAGCCCTATTTTCACTCAGGAAGCAATCTTTGCCTCATCTTGTTCTTTGACCTTGGTTATTTTTCTTGACACAAGAAGAATAAATTGACCCAACAGAATAAATTTGTCTATTTGCTTATTGTCTGCCTTCACCATTAGACAATCTCTGTGGGTGGGGAGGAGAAGTGCCTTTTAAAGTTATGGTTGAATCTTCAAAAGTTTAGAACAGTGCCTCTAGCAAGCACTAAATTTATAGCTGTGAATGACAGATTTTTTTTTTTTTCTAAAATCACTTCTTATCTCAAGGTCTAAGTGTGTATGTGTATTTGTGTGTGTACTCGGAGGGTGTGCACTAAGGATTTAACTCAGAGTGCTCTAACACTGATCTACATCCCCAGACCTTTTTATTTTTTTTATTTTGAGACAAGGTTTCACGAAGGTGCTAAAGCTGGCCTTTAACTTGTGATCCTCTTGCCTCAGCCTCCTGATTACTAGGATTATAGGAATGCACTACCATGCTGGTCTTCAAGTAAATTTTTTTTTTAATATTCAAAATAACTATCATAATTACTATTATTTTTAATGTTACAAAAACAACTGTGTTGGGGACTACAGGTGCTGTAGGTGCTTTAGGATTTAAGATTTGGGCTCTAGAAAAGATATAATTGCTTATGACCCAAATCCCACTTCCTTTTTATAGTCTGGAATCACCAGAGTTCAGCCTTTCACATAAGTTAAAATTTATTGCCCCACCCCCACCCCACCCCCAGGATTTGGGGGAATTGTCTAGAAAGTTCTGTCAGTCTTGCATTTCAAGTTTGAGCCACCAAATCATTGATTCATTCTTTCGTTTCATTGGAGCATATTAAATGCATGTTTGCAAAGGGCCTATTTTTGCTGAGGGGATATTAGGACAATCAACAACTCCCTGCACTCAGTGGGTTTTGGTTTCTTGGGGGAGAAACCTCCTTGTCCAAAAGGTCTTCTGTGAAGTATGAAGGTCTCCACTTGGGTTCAGAGGAAGGAGTGCTCACTTTGTGGTTTTGAATAGGAAGGTCAGGAATCCTTTCTGGAAGAGTTAGCATATGAGTAAGTCTTCAAAAGGCTGAAGGATAAGTGACTGGCCAAGCCCAGGGAGCAGCCGTAGTGCGTGGTGAAGTGGGAGTCAATGTCATATTGACTCTGGGCCTGTCATAAGCCCAGAGAGGAAAGGAACCTTCCATCTCTGGTTAGAACCACATAGGTGAGCTGTAGAATGTAGATTGCAAAAGTGGGTTTGAGTTGCTTTGGGGACCCTGAATGCCAGACTATATAAGTAGTACTTTATCACAAAATTAAGATGCTAAAAGAAGTTCTAGACCTAGGGATGCTCTTCATACCACGGGATTTTAGAAACACTATTCTGATGGCTATCTGTGGCTTCCTGGGCTGGAACAAGAAAAAATTCCCTGGAGAAAAATTTGGGAAAGAAGGTATGGATAAATAGGAGACTTTAGACTCAGGAAGATACAGGAGGAAGGAACTGGGAAATGAATGGATTTGAGAGAGTTTTTGAAGGGGAAGTCATTGTGGCTTGGTGAACACATGAGATGAAAGGTGGTGGGGGGAAGGGGGAGTAGATAATTAAGGGCGATTTGAGGAGAACTTTGTGCCTCAGTGACTGAGAGAATAATAGCACCATTGATAGAAATAAAAATTGTTTTGGAAATTTCAATGGAAGCAAAGGATGCTGTTTGGGATTTAGACATATAAAAAATGGAGGTGGTGGTAGAACATCTGGTAGGCATATAGAGAAGACCTTGGCAACCAGCTAGCCATTGAGTGTCCCTTGCCCAGCTTTATCTATGCCCTTAACACTTAGCAAAAAATGCTGGCCAAGGAAACATAGATTAGGTTGAATCAAGGCCCTGATTTTGAGATGTTTTATTCAGGTGATCCAATGGAAGGTTAAATTCATCTCATCTCCTCAGAGTTTTCATAGCAGATCCATGTGCACTGTATCACCTTTTATAAGTATGTGATGTGGCCACAGTCCAGCCCTCATTAGCTAAAGTTTGGTCTTGTATCCCATACCTTCCCTATGACATGGTCAGTCTCCATTGGTCTCTGATTCCTGTATCTCAGAGTCTGTGGCTGTAAAGGTAGTGAGATGATTGTGCATGTTCTCAGGACTGTGACATTTGGCTCAATGCTAGGAAGACCTCAGCAAACACTTCTTAATGGTTTGTGAAGGTAGAAGGGTGGGACAACCCTCATTTACCTTTACCACCTTCACAAGGCTGATTTTTAAACTTCTTCCTTTTGAGGCTGCCTTCCATCTTCCTTTGTACTTTATTTTCTTGGATTTGGCATATTGGAAGCAGGGGGTGGGGCAAAGGTTCTGAATGTTATTTACCATCTTCTGCCCCAGGGCGCATCTCCCACAGAAAAATATCAACCAGCCTGGAGGAAGGAGATCAGTGCAAGACTCTTGAGAGCTTTGCCACACAATGCCCATTCACTAAGATGGTATCAACACATCCATCCTAATAAACACTGGTCGTTCTAGGTCCAGGCTATGTGGGAGTGACCGTGGCTTGCAAGATGACGCCAACATTTTCTGAGGGGCCTAACCTGCCATTAGGTGACTCAGTGCATTTCCTACCACATCAGCCAGGAGGCAGGGACAAAAGCTGTAGCCTTTATTTTTTCCTCTTGGGGTGGGACTGTTCTGCCTTGGCACCAGGACTGCAGGAAAGCCTTCATTAATCACCTCCCTGCCTGGTGATCTCATCAGCCAGAGCAGAACTTCAGCTAGGGAAGCAGAGTCCCAGAAACTGAGTGAGCTTCCAAAATGTCCTAGGTCACTGGCCTTGGGAATAAGAACTTTCTGGGTTTAAACTTCAGAAATTCTGGGTCTCATTTTACAATATTTAAAATGAGGGTAATAACTGCAGCCTGTTTTGAGGATTGAGAGCGGTGACGTATGTAAAGCACTTAGCTCTAGCCCAGCAAATGGTATTATTAATATTTCCTCGGCAGTATAGTAATGGAAAATAGTATTTTCTGGAGTTTAAAAATTCAGTCTGGGTGAACTTGAGTTTTGAATGCTCCTCTTTCTAGTTGGCCTTGGGCAGCTTCATCTTGCTGAGTCTGTTTCCTCATTTGTAAAATGGGAATAAGGTACCTATCTCATGGGGTCATTGAGTTGATTAAATAATGCTGACTGCTTAGCACAATTGCTAGTATATACAAACCGTGCAACAATAGTGCGTTACTATTATCACTTGTTTCAGCCCTATATCCTTCAGAGTCCAGTTCAAGGTGCTATCCTTCCCACAAACCTCTTTAACCCTTTCTTTCATCTTCACTGATTTGGATACTTCTTATAATCCCTCTTACATTGATTCTGTTTACGTCCATCTCCCTTATATAACTGGGCCTCCTAGGCTCAACTTGCTCTCACCTTGAGGTGTATTTTACATGTTTTTATTGATTCCAGAAATCCCACAAAACCAATCCTAAGAGCATTAAAATTTGAATTGCATTATACATGGTACAGCAAAAGTTCCTAAAGTTGTTTTTAAACGGCTTTCTTCCTTTAAGCTTCCACTTCTTGAGCAGTTGTTCATCTTTATGTGTTCCCTTTCTGAGCTAGAACCTGCTCCGCCCTGTTACCCTCTCAGTTCCCTAGGGGACCATTTTCCCCAGTAACACAGTCTCTGGAAACCGCAGCACCCTAAAACCCACCACTCACAGGGTGCGAAAGCGCCTGCGCAGCAGGAACCGACGACTTGACGTCAGCGCGCTGGGATCGGGCCGCCCCCTTTGACGCCAGCCTTGCCACAGCCCCGCCCAGCACGCCTGTATACTCCTGCGCATGCTCCGAACTCCGCCCCCGTGCGTCACAGAATGGCCTTGGACACCCAGGCAGACCCTGACGTGTCGGGGAGGAGCCGGGCGCGGAGGTGCGTGGAGTGGAGCTCAGGGCTGCCGAGGGGAGCGGAGCTGAGCGGCTGGGCGGGCCTGGCCAGGCCAGCGGTGCAGAGACGTCGGTCGAGCGGCGGCGAACATGCGCTGTTGACATATTGGAGGTGAGTCTGCTGTGCGGGGCTGCTCCGAGGGCCCGGAGCCAGGCAGGCGGCGCCGAGGCCTTCCCCTGGGGAGCCTGACCGGCTCGGGAGCTGTATCTGAGGCTCCGCCGGACCGGGCCAGGGCTTGGTTCTGGGGCGGCCAGTCCGTGGGGCAACTGTACCAACCGCTGTAACTGTCCCCTCCCTGCCCTGGTCCGAGGTGTGGCCCACCAGGGGCGCCTGCAAGGGAGAGAATCCGGTGGCTTCCAGAAGATGTGCCCGCGTCCTAGGGTGGGGACGGAGGCCGGGACGTGGCACCGTGGGCCAGGGCGCTGGTGGCGCAAGGGTGGCACAGTCGAGGTGGCAGCAGCGCTCTTTGCCCTCCCCTGCCCAAATTTCTTTCTGCTGTGAGGTTGTGGTTGTTGGGAGCCTGGTTGAATTTTGATCTCTCAGCGCCTCTGTCCTGCGGGGGGCGAGAGCGGGAGCAGCCCACGTAGGTCTCAGATTGGCATTCCGGTGACTCCCCGCCCCAAACTGCTAATCACCCCCCTCGGAGTTCAGCAAAGTGTCACCAACCGGTTCAGGTTGTTGGTGTTCTCTTCCTTTTTTTTTTCTAGTAAGCGACGGTAACCCTTTAAGTGCCAAGAAAGTGAAGGTTCTTTCACTGATGGTTATTTGATTCCATTCCTATAGTTCCTTCACGCATTTCACTACGTTGCTATCAGCTTTGAACGCTGATCTTGTGACGGTTGCTGTTATTTTCATTTTCTGGATGGGGAAATTGAGCCCAGTTGGGGGGCAAGTAAGTGATTTATACTTGGGTTTAGCCAACTGGTGAGAGACGTAGCTTGAATCAGAGTTTACATTTCTAGGGTTCAGGTTCTGGATTTCTTTTTGGGAGATTTTTTAGACCCGTCTCAGCTAGAAGGCAAGGCAGAAAAACTTGACTTGTCAAAAATATACCAAAACCTAGAAAACGATTTTTTCAGCTATTTTTGAGCAGAATTACCTAAAATAAAAATTATTCAGTTATGAGAAAAGAAAATCTTACTCTGAAGCTTATTCATGGGTGGCTGGTTATTTTGTCTGATAAATTATGTTGCTTTCAGTGCACTTAAAAAGGGATTGGGTTATGACTTTGCTAAATCCTGAAGTTGATGGAGCAAAATGCAGCATTAAGTCATACAGTAGAGAAACAAAGGGACAGTAAATGAGTGGTATCTGTTCAGAACTATTATTAAAAGTATTGTTACTTAAAATTGGAGCACATAAAGAACAAGAATAAAAACAAAAAAACCCTTGTTTTGTTGTTAGAGATTGACCTGATTCAGACAGAAGGAGCTAAATCTTCTGAACCTGTAGCTTATTGTTTCTTAGGTTGAAGTTGGAAAAAAGATCATTTGAAATAAGTAGAAACCTTAATTAAAACTTAATTCTTACTTTCATGACCTCTACAAAACTTTTTATTTTCATTTTAAACCATACTAAGATAAAGTTGATTACTCAAGCTTAAAATTGCTTCTCATGCAACCAAAAGAGACACCTTATAATGATTGGCTTTGAAAAATTAAAAAAAAATCTGTAAATGTCACCTTTGGGAGAAGTAAAACTCGGTGTGTATTATCTACGGGGGTGGGGGTGTGTGTTTGCCAAAGAACACTTCACTCTTAACAGTTGTTAACAAGAATACAGTATCATATAAAATAGATTTTTTTACCATTATACAAAGAGTAGTGTTCTTCTAAACAAGGCATTTTAGATAGGCTGTTTAAAACCCAAGTGAGTTGTTAGGTATCTGAAAGGTCATATAGGGTATGATATGCCCGATGTAAAAGTTATAATTTTCTTATCCTACCCGTGAAAGACACAGTATTAAGGGAAGGGAAACAAAGAATACCCAATTATTTGCCTTCATTTCAATGTCAGAAAATTATAGATGTACTGTTCCAGTAATTTTTTAGCAGTGTTTTTTTTTTTTTTGATATTGGCTAACTTTCTGTACCCTTAATATCTCCAATTACATAGTTTCAGATGACAGTGAACATATCCTCCCAGTGTAACTTGAGGCAAACTGAACACACTGTCTTTTAAGCCCCTGAAAACAGTCTTGTGAATATCTGCAGTGGTAGCGCATTTTTTTTTTTGTAAAGAATCTGGTACTTTAAAGGGTAAGTCTGATGATAAAATTAGAGTCAAGCTGAATTGTACTAATTGGAAAGCAGTAAGTAAAGAGATGCGACCATGGAACTTTTTTGCTTAGTTCTTAACCTGGCTCATAAAGCCTATTCCAAAAGAAGTTTTAGAAATATTTTTAGTAGTGATGGTATCACAGGAATATGAGTATAGCTCCCTGAAATAATTAATATTAAGGAATCATTTGCATGTTTTAAATTCTGAAAAGCCTGTTTACTTTGTGGTTAAACTTCAAAGGTCCACTGTTGAATTATAGTTTTTTATAATTTAATGAGTCTTTATGCTGTTTACTGTGTGCCAGGCTGTATTCCAAGTATTTTACAAATGTTAACCCATTTAATTGTCATAACAATGTCATTTTACTAATTACCCACCCCTGTTTTACAGGTTAGGAAATGGGGCACCGAGTAGTTGGTAACTAGCCTAAGGTCACCCAATTAGTAAGTAGAGGAGCCTGATTTCAAACTCAGGCAGCTTGGCTTCAGGGTTTTGTCTCTTAACCACTGTGCTATGCTGCTCCCATGACTTATTATTGGTTAAATATTTTTAATTGGTTTGTTCTAGAAAAGGTGATGGTTATTTTAGTAGTAAGATATCTGGCATAAGGTATAATACAGTTTGAAGGGCCAAGAAGCAAGTTATGAAAGTAGCCTGTTCATTAAAAAAAATTGGGGTCAACATTAAGCCCACATAAGATTCAGCAAGAAAATTAAGCATGTATGAAGTAAAAGCATATAATAACTTTGCTGGAATTATTTAATATACCAAAGTAGTTGGACGAAGGGGATGTCAGAGCTAAACCTAGATTCTCAAAAACTTTCAAGCAAATGGCTATTTAAAACCTGTCATCAGGGAACATAGGTTAGAAAAGTTGATAGTTATGTTAAGAATATGTTTCTGTTCAAGAACCAAAAGCCAGAGACAAATAGATACTTCATAGCACTGGACCCAGAGGTGTAAACAGTGCTGTCCTCCAGGGATCAATAGTTAACTAAGCCCTCTTCAAAGCAGTAACTGCCAGTAGGTTCTTCTATACAGTACATGGGTTAGAAACAACCAAAAAACCCTCCCTCACCACTGAAATGTTTGAAGTGGGTATTTGAAAAACATTTATAGACGAAAACAATCCTGATCTTATTTGTAGAATGATTGGTTCCACATTCAAATATAGTACATTCAAATAGATGTTAGATGCCAAAGTAGCATCTGACAGTCATGAGAAACTTCCATAAGGACACTGGTTCATGGGCCACACAGTCAGCAGCAGTATTGTCAAGTGCTGCATAGTAACAGAAAGAGTACTGAATATTCAAAAGAAAATTATCCTGCTAGCCAATAAAATGTTGAATGCTGAAGTAGCACTATTCATTCAGCTCTGTACAGTTTATATGTGATCTAAGGATAATCTAAAGCATGACAATGAGAATGTTTAAGGACTAAGGTGACTACTGCATGATTATAGGCTAAAAAGACAAGAAATACTCACTTTGAGAAGACCAACACTAAGAATTATTATCACCAAAGTCTAAAAAATGAGAAATGGCATAAAAAAGAGAATGCAACTTGTTTGCCAAGACATTGAGCCTTAAAACAGCAAGGTAAGAAACTTACCACAAATTCAAGACCAAAAAATGGAAAGGTTGTTATTGGCTATAAAGTTACAGGGTCTCAATGAACTGAGTTGCTTAGCACCTTGCCATTGCTGAGGCTGGCTTTGAATTTGCCATCCTCCTGTCTCATCCTCTCAAGCCACTGGGATTGCAGGCATGTGCCACTGTGTCCAGCAAGGATCACATTATGTTATTCCCCCCACCCCCACCAGGTTTTCAGTTGTTCTTTTTCTAATAGGTGGCAGAGTAATGTGCCTTCATCACAATCTCAGATTTATCCAGTTTCTCAGGCATGCTGTCTATTCTGTGGGATTCTCTATTTTTCTCAGAGCCAATCCTATTTGAGCTGCTCTCTGGGCCTGATGGACTAGGCTTTCATCCTGGGACTTCTCTTCATTGCAGTCCTGGTTGGAGCCACTGTGTACTATACTCTATGCTGACCAGGTCAGGTTTTCTCCCCCAACCTTTAAAATAATAAATAAAATAAATAAAACCCCCCACCCATCTCAGGACTTATATGGGGGGTAATCCTCCTGAGTTCTTTTATCAGAAAAAAATTCTGTTTCCTGAATTCTCTTTCCTCTCAGTTTCAGTAGGTTCTAGGATTTACTTGTTCATGCTACTGTATTTTTCCATTTGTTTGGTGGTTCTCTATTATCCATTTATATTTAAAACTACTAAGCTGGGTGATAATTGAGGCCACTGGTATGCAGTTATTTCCTTAAGATTTTCCCTGATAAGTTCCATCAGCTCCTTCTTCTTTGATGTGCTACCTACATAAGTGACTGACTGTAACTTGGCATGCATCAGACTGATAATTTTGTACAACTGAGAATGATAGGTTTTATACTCTTGGGTTAATACATGGTGGTACATTTTGTGAGGTAGAAATAAACTAGCCACAAGTCTTTGCTTACTCTGTCCCTGAAAGAGGAATACAGATGTTAATAAAGGAAAGTGATACTTTTAAAGGAAAGAGGGAATAATGAAAGAGAGATTATAAGTCAATTCAAGTAATGTTTATTGAGATTCTTCTGGGTTCCATGTTTCTGGTGATGTGGATGGATTTATAAACAAGGCAGGTTTTGCCATCAAGGAACTAGAGAGACTTAACCTTTCATTTCTCTTCAACTGTTTCTTGTGGAATGCAGAGTTGATAGTAGTTGAACATTGCTTCCTATGTCATCCCTGGTCTTCATAACATTTTGCAAAACCATGATTTATTGGATTGTGTGCCAGAAACTGAACATTTGAATTGCTCATTAACACTCAGTTGCCAGAGTTCAAATGGTAACTTATATCCAAATGCAGGAACCAGTGCCCATGAACTTATAATCAGCTCCTTCTTCTTCTTCTTCTTCTTTTTTTTTTTAAATTGGGCACATCTTTTTAAAAAAATTGTTCTAATTAGTTATACATGAAAGTAGAATGCATTTTGACCATCATACATAAATGGAGTATAACTTCTCGTTCTTCTGGTTGTACGTGATATAGAGTTATACAGGTTGTATAATTATATATGCACATAGGGTCATAATGTTCAATTCATTCTACTATCATTCCTATCCCTGTACCCTCTCCCTTCCCTTTACTCCCTTCTGTCTAGTCCAAAGTACCTCTATTCTCCAACCCCCCCTTATTGTGAATTAGCATCTGCATATCAGAGATACTGTTGGTTCTTTGGGATTGGCTTATTTCTCTCCATTTCCATCCATTTACCTGCAAATGCCATGCTATCATTCTTCTTTAAGGCTGAGTGATATTCCATTGTGTATACATACCACAATTTCTTTATCCATTCATCTGTTGAAGGGCACCTAGGTTGGTTCCATAGTTTAGCTATTGTGAATTGAGCTGCTATAAACATTGATGTGGCTGTGTCACTGTAGTATGGTGATTTTAAGTTCTTTGGGTATAAACCTAGAAGTGGGATAACTGGGTCAAATGGTAATTCCATTCCATGTTTTCTGAGGAATCTCCATACTACTTTCCATAGTAGTTGCACCAATTTGCAGGCCCACCAGCAATGTATCTTTTCTCCCACATCCTTGCCAGCATTTATTGTTGCTTGTATTCTTGATAATTGCCATTCTATAATCAGTTTCTTTAGGGTTGGATTTAAAATGTTATCACAATTTTTAGGGCATTCAGGGGAAAGATCTTGTGTCCTATAATTGTCTTCATTTGGATTGTTAAAATGGGTTCCTCCCTTTCAGGAGACTTAGGCAATGACTCTGAGGAGTTATTGGTAGCACATGACAATGGCTGTGAGTTCTTTGGGTCTTTTGAAATGTAGCTCCCTCTTGCTTCTGGATGAACCTTGTCCTTGCTTCTGGATGAAACTTGTCCTTAGTCATATCTTACTGCAAATTAACTACAAATAAGATTACCTCTATATTTGAGAAGGTGAAGTGGGAATTTGGAACTTTGATGAAGGGACAGGATTATAAAATTAGTATTATTTACTAATCAGTGTACATACAGTGTATAGTGACATAATTATAAGTCAGTTTAGTATAGTCCAAATCCTCATTAGATGAAAAAACTGAGGCCTAAGAGATCAAACTGTTTAAGTAAATTAGTGGCAGAATTGGAATGTTAGAATCCAGACTCAACAGGACTCCAGCCTTGTGGGGTTAACATTTTAAAGGGCTGCCATGCTATAATGGCACCTCCAAGAGTGGAATAGTTCAGACAAATGTGTCCTAGTAAAGAAATAATCACATTAGAGGAGGGTGTGTTTGGTCAATAAGTATTTATCCAGTGCTTAACAATATCTGACGATTATAGTAGGCATTCAGTTAATTTTTGAAAGTGTTCAGTGCTTTCTCTGAGCAGGGTGCTAGTCTTAGTGCCCTGAAAGGGAAACAAGATGTGTTAAGGATCCATCTCTTTCAAAGCACTTACAAGCTGATTTAAGATAATTGGTAACTTAAGGTAATTATGAGATTGTCTAACAGATGTTAAGGTAATAATAAATGGTGTGATCAGGCAAGACTTGATTAAGAAAGAAAAATTTGCAATAGGCCTCAAAGGAATTAAACTTAACATATAAAGTTACTTTATACTTCTGTTCTATTAAAAACCATACGCATCCCTCTTTGGTGTACTCACCCTGAAGTTGGAGTTCTGTGTTCTTTTTTGTTGTTTTTAATATTTGGGTCGTTTTGCAATTTGTCTTTTTTTTTTTTTTAAAGAGATTTTTAGTTGTAGACGGACACAGTACCTTTATTTAGTTTATTTTTTTTATGTGGTACTGAGGATTGAACCCAGTGCCTCACATTGTGCTAGGCAAGTGCTCTCTACCACTGCGCTACAACCCTGGTCCCTAGAGTTCTATATTCTTACCTGTGACTGAGTTCTTGCCATATCTTCACAAGTGGATTGTGTTAAATGAACTCCAAGTTATCTACGTCTCCAGGGGTTTATTAATTTAGTTTTAAAGCTAGTTTTGAGTTCTTGCTGCCCAGTGTGTGTTAGGTTGAATCAATTATGTTTTAATTCAGTAAATATTATTGAGCATTTTCTCAAATTGTGCAGATATTGTGTGGGGACAGAAATAAATAAGGACAATGCACAGACTAATAGGAGCCATAAAGCTGTTAGCAAATACATTGCTATCATTGAAAGTATGTGTGTGGGATAGAGGCACCTAAGAGTACAGGAGATTTTAATACTCTTTGGATGAGGGCAAGAAAGTCTGGAAAAGATGATAGCTGGATTTTAAGGAAAAATAGGAGCTTTCCAAATGCAAGGAATGGAGAAACATTTCAGGTAGAGAATACATCCACACCTGAAATAGCATGGTGTGATAAGACAATTTTGAATGGCATTACTGAAATATAAAGTGGAATGCTTAGGGAGGAGGTTGTAGGAAACCCTAGGCATGAATCTAGAGTAGACCTAACATTTTTTGGTATTCCATCTGGCCTGACTATGAATTGGGTGTTTAGCCGATCCAACAGCAGGGTTAAATAAATAGGTTACCCCCTTCCCCCAGTGTCTTGGGAGAAAAACCAAGACAAATGATAATTGAAGATTGAGATGACTGGACTTTGGAAGAAGCTTTGGACTTAAAAGATAATTAATAGGGGGACTTGCCTAGCAAGTGTGAGGCCGTGGGTTCAATTTCCAGCATTAGGGGAGGGAATATAATAGGAAGGTTTTAGAAATTTGGAAGTAGTAAATTATTACCCATCTTCTGGCAGTGTCACCTGGCATGAAATGCTCCAAAGCAGGTGTTTTGATGCAATTATACAACAGGGAAGGGCATGCAGTAGCAGAGTCTCTGACATTGTGCTTACTTTTATTACCTGATTCCCAGAAGACTAGTTGACCATAACCCAACTGCTGGAACTCTGTGTGCAGGATGGGGCCAAGTAACCTAGAACCCAGTGCTGCAATTGAAAGTGCCTCACTGGCTTTGTGCCAAAGGACTTTGTTGATTTTATCTCCTATCAACACCTTATCACTGCCCCCTGAGTGGGGCAGTGAAGTGGGGCATGTACTTGAGTAATACTAATGAGTTAACTGTTCCTAGAATATTTCATATTTAGCTCCAAGATGCTACAGATTTTGTGTTGCCCCAGATTTTATACTTTTGGTTAGATTTTTATGTTCTCTCTTTAACTTTACAACAGTTTGTCTTTAATATTTCATAGGCTTTCTTGATCATGGATGGTGAAGATATACCAGATTTTTCAAGTTTAAAGGAGGAAACTGCTTATTGGAAGGAACTTTCCTTGAAGTATAAACAAAGGTAAAGTTGAAAAGTACACTAAAAATAGGGGAGGACATTTGGAACACACCATATCTAGCTTGTGCATTTTTTAAAAAACATTAATCTAAATTTAGAGTATCAGATTTAGGTATATGATTCTAGAAATAGCCATAACATTGCTTGCATTTAAATAGTACTAAAATGCTGTAAATTTTTATATTGTTCTAATTATTAAAAATAGTAGGAAAAGAGTGTCATTTGTGATTTTGTGATTTAAGATGGGTCACCTCCAGTTGTATTTATTAGAGTGGGCCATCTTTGGCCTGCTGTGTGTGTGTCGTTTGCTCACATGAAGATTCTTAGACTCTGGTTCTTTTCAGGCATGCATTATTAGTGTCTGGAGATAGGCAGGCTTTGAGGGTGTTAGGGATGAACTTCAGGGCTATGGAGCATTTTATAAAATTTCAGTTAATTTACTTGGTTAGAAAAACTTATGGATAATAACTTTTCAGCACCAAAACTGGTCTAAAATTGCTTTTTTAAAAAAGTAGAATCTTTCCAAAGTATTTATACATTTTCCTAGTTTGGTTAACAGAATTTATTAAATGTTATCAAACCTTATTGTGCTTTCACTGGTATCACTCCAGCTAGCTACTCTATTGTATCAGTGGAGATAGAAGGTCATCAGGGGCTCTTTACCTTTTTTTGTGTTGCAGATGGCTTTGAAGCCTATCAATCTCTTCTCAGAATGTTTTTAAATGCATAAAATTAAATGATAGAAATACAGAGGAAACCAATTATATTAAAAACAGTCATCTAAATATTAAACTAATTTGTGCTATGTTACTGCATTAAGTAATAAAGATTTGGGGGTATATAATACCTAATTTTGAATTGGTAGTGAGAATAAATGATATTTAGAAATATCTTGGGTTGGGGACATGACTCTGTGGTAGAGTGCTTGCCTAGCATGTGTGAGGCCCCTGGGTTCAGTCCCACCACTGCAAAAAAGAAAGAAATCTATAACAACTCTATTGTGATATGAGAGTATTTGTGATTACCACTGGACAGAATTGAAGGTAATTTTAGTTACTCTAGTGTAAATAAAGATTCCTTCCCTGCCCCCTTCCTTTAATTTCTATGGAGGAAAATCTAATGTTATTAAACTATGTAGACTTTTTATAAATATTTTAATTACTGATTTGTGAGTCTTTTGGGGGTTTATAACTCATTTTCATTGAACTCTGAATATATAGATAAGAAATATAGACCAGATTGTCTTTATTGTTTAGCATATTTTATGAGAACATTAATTTTCAGGCAAAAATTATTGAATTGGGGTGTATCGTTATCTTCACTATGATCCTGTAGTTCCTATTATTACTCATCTTTCCTGCTTTATTCTCATTAGCTTCCAGGAAGCTCGTGATGAGCTAGTTGAATTCCAGGAAGGAAGCAGAGAATTAGAAGCAGAGTTGGAGGCACAATTAGTACAGGCTGAACAAAGAAACAGAGACCTGCAAGCTGATAACCAAAGACTGAAATATGAAGTGGAGGCGTTAAAGGTAATTGTGGCAGGAGAAGCTGGTGTCTGATGGTACTGGGTTTTATTAAAATGAGAAGTATATTTTTCAAGTCTGTGTAAGAGAGAGAGGCAACAAAGATATAAAAAAGGCTTCAAGTGAATTTTTGAATAAAATATTTTCTTTCATAGAACCAAAGGAAGGTGGATCAGTGTTTAGAAGTTCACTTAGAAACTTAATGGCGCTCAGTTTTCTAGTTGTAACGTTCCTGGTTATATTAAAGTTCCTCTAGTTTTCAAAAGCTGCCTGATTACTTGACAAATCATTTGCCTTATAGTACAGTACTTTAAAATTTTATTTATATGAAATGTGCATTTATTTCATTATTGTTCATAGCCCCTTCATTTTGGAGTTTAATTTGTGTTAAAGTTTCCCTTCTGAATAGGAATTTTCAGGCATAAAAAGGTTGACCCCTTTCTCTGCTCTTCACCACCTGCCATAACTATATGCTTAGGAGTATTTCTGTAGGGAGTGGGTGATTTGGGAAAGGTGGGGAGACAAATAAGGGGTAGGGAATCTAGACTCTGATGGCAGTCTGCTACTGTTTGCACTGAGTTGCATTCAGCTTGAGAACCCAGACGCTCCCCTACTAAGTCTGGGAATGTTGAGGCCAAGGTTTCATTATTTTACTTCTTTTCAGAGATCATTATTAGATCTTTATGAGAGGAGAACGGTTGACTTAATTTTATGTGAGTTAAAACACATAGAATAGAATATTTAGTTATTTTTAAAATATTGTAAAAAGGAGAGGAGCACAGTCAACAGATTGTGATTCCTTGTTCCTCCCTCCTTAACTTGGGTTACATCCTTTAAAGGAGACTATATATTAATGACCTATTCCTTCTTCTCTATATCTATACCTTCAGGAAAAACTAGAACATCAGTATGCACAGAGCTACAAGCAGGTCTCAGTATTAGAAGATGATTTAAGTCAGACCCGGGCCATTAAAGAGCAGTTGCATAAATATGTGAGAGAGCTGGAACAGGCCAATGATGACCTGGAGCGAGCAAAGAGGTAAATGATGATGTGTGTTTTGTGAGAATAACCAAAGTTGGAAATCTGTATCATTAGGCTCACCCTCTCACCTAGATCTTAATCTCAGAGCATTTCCTTTTGGTGTTTTGTTGGATTAAAAGGCACCCCAAATCCTTGTCTTCCCAGATAACATCCTCCCAAACTTTTCTTTTAATTTTTTCTTTTTCTTTCTCCATGCACTGTTGTTGATCCTTCTTGTTTTTCAAGGCATGTCTCATGCATTCTGCCATTTCTTCTCTATAAAACACTACCATGCTTTCTGTAGGTCCTCATGTCTTCTACCTGAATTTTGCAGTTATTTCCCTGTGGATCTCTCTGTACGTTTATAGTTCTTTTCATTCTCTTCTGTTTGAATGCTGACCAGTGACTTTGCCTTAACGACCTATGGTGGTTTGCTATTACTATTGCCAAATTTTCGTGCCTCTGTAATTAGTTATTTCTTAACCATTCCAGACTTAATGCCTGTTACTTTACAGTTATTGTAAGGTATTACTTAATATTTATCAAGTGGCTCTTAAATGATTGACATAATGCTAATATTGTGGAATAACAGCTTAGCAAGTTACTATCCTTGGGGCTGACAGATAAGAACATTCACTGTGGCAAATACTATGGCAAAAAGAGTGTATAGGCTGCTCTGGTTGTACAGAGGTGGGAGCAGCAGAGTACCTGTGGGAACCAGGAAAGCCTTTGCAGATATTGGAGTCTATAAGGAGGAGAGAAGTTAAACAGGTGAAGGGACAGATGCAAAGGTAGAGAGGTAGGAAGGTGCTTTGGGTATTACTAGTTTCACTTTGATTGAGTTGTCTTGACACAGTTTTGCTGAATGTGATAGAGTGGTTAAATGTGGTTGGGGCCAGGTTGTGAAGAACCTTGTGTTTTGTTTTGTTTTTTTAATTTTTTAAACAAAAGAGTAATATCAGGTTTTGAGAAGATAATACTGAGGAATTGAAAGTTGGGGAGGAGGCACAAAGGTTATTAAAGAATAATCCAGGTGATGAGGAATTAAGGCAGAATACTGGAGAAGGTTAGGGATGAAGGTCGGAGCATAGAGTGGGAGGGGCTCAGATTAGGTTTGTGTTAATGTTTGTTAAATGGGTTGAGATCATTCTCTTTGAACTGGGCCAGACTGGCTAGGTCAGAAATGGTGGGAGATAAACTGTTTCTTTTTATAATAGCAATTTGTACAGTTGTTTATTTAATTCATGGGCACTATTTTTTTTTAAGGGCAACAATAGTTTCACTGGAAGACTTTGAACAAAGGCTAAATCAGGCCATTGAACGAAATGCATTTTTAGAAAGTGAACTCGATGAAAAGGAATCCTTGTTGGTTTCTGTACAGAGGTTAAAGGATGAAGCAAGAGGTAAGATTTATAATTTAGAGGATGTTTATCTATTACTTTGCTGTCTAGTAAGCTAAGGAGTCAACCTCTTTTTTTCTATGTTAATTTTTTTTTTTTTTTTTTGCTGATAGTTGAGCCTAGGGCTTCACTTAGGCAAGTACTCTATGGGCGAGCTAGTCTCCAGCCCTCACCTTCTTTTAAGTTGCCCTGAATGCTTTTAATCTGTTTATTTTCTTAATACCTATGTCCTCAATGCTAAGAGGTAGATTTTCCCTATTTTAAGGAGGAGAAGACTGAGGCACAGAGAATTTGAGTTTTTCCAAGGCAGTATAGCTCGTCAGCTAGGACTGAAATCCTGGTCTGTTTTTCAAAGCTTTAATTATTACCACTGTACATATATTGCTTGGTTTGTTTTGGGTTTTTACGTACTACTTTTTTGTTTTGTTTTGTTTTTTGTTTTTGGGATTGAACCCAGGGGCACTTAACCACTGAGCCATATCCCAGCCCTTTTTTATATTTTATTTTGAAACAGGGACTCACTGAGTTGCATAGGTTCTTGCTAAGTTGCTGCGGCTTACTTTGATTCTCCTGCCTCAGCATCTTGAGCTGCTGGGATTATAGGCATGCGTCAGCATACCTGGTCTTCTTACTATTTATGCCTAAATAATTTTGTTATGCACACAGCACTAAATATGTACACACTATTGTATACTTATTATACATATAGTTAATATATATTTTCCTCAAAATAGTTTCCCTTCTCCCCTTTTTTAGTAGAATGCAGAGTATCTTGAAGAAGATGAAGATCGTACCAATCCCTTTATTTGGAGGGAATCCACTAAGAGTTTGGCATATTTCTTTCTATTCTTTTCTGTGACTATGCATATCTATTTTTTCCCTTTTTATAGTTCCTGTCACTTATCTTCCACACACCCAATCAGATACACACAAGTGTATTTTTTTCACTCCTTAACATTTGCCTTTAACAGAGAATTCTACATAGGGAATTCTATATTTGTACCATTAATAAATTATATAAAATAGATTTTTAAAAAATGTTATATAGAAACTGGGGTTGTGGCTCAGTGGTAGAGCGCTAGTCTCGCACCTGTGAGGCACTGGGTTCGCCATCCTCAGTACCACATAAAAATAAATCAAATAATAAAGGCATTGTGTCCATCTACAACTAAAAATATTTTTAAAAATGCTGTACTATTTTATTACAGTTATATATATATATTTTTTTTTCTCCGCTGCCTTTCCCATCCTCCACCCTCCCCCCTCCCCACCTCTCCCCTCCCCTCCCCTCCTCTCTCTCTACCCCCTCCACTGTATAACCCTGAGGGTCTCCTTCCATTTCCATGCAATTTCCCTTCTCTCTCCCTTTCCCTCCCACCTCTCATCCCTGTTAAACGTTAATCTTCTTCTCCTGCTCTTCGTCCCTACTCTGATCTTAGTTACTCTCCTTATATCAAAGAAGACATTTGGCATTTGTTTTTTAGGGATTGGCTAGCTTCACTTAGCATAATCTGCTCTAATGCCATCCATTTCCCTGCAAATTCTATGATTTTGTCATTTTTTAATGCAGAGTAATACTCCATTGTGTATAAATGCCACATTTTTTTTATCCATTCGTCTATTGAAGGGCATCTAGGTTGGTTCCACAGTCTTGCTATTGTGAATTGTGCTGCTATGAACATTGATGTAGCAGTGTCCCTGTAGCATGCTCTTTTTAGGTCTTTAGGGAATAGACCAAGAAGGGGAATAGCTGGGTCAAATGGTGGCTCCATTCCCAGCTTTCCAAGAAATCCCCATACTGCTTTCCAAATTGGCTGCACCAATCTGCAGTCCCACCAGCAATGTACAAGTGTACCCTTTTCCCCACATCCTCGCCAGCACTTGTTGTTGTTTGACTTCGTAATGGCTGCCAATCTTACTGGAGTGAGATGGTATCTTAGGGTGGTTTTGATTTGCATTTCTCTGACAGCTAGAGATGGTGAGCATTTTTTCATGTACTTGTTGATTGACTGTATGTCCTCCTCTGAGAAGTGTCTCAGGTCCTTGGCCCATTTGTTGATTGGGTTGTTTGTTCTCTTATTGTCTAATTTTTTGAGTTCTTTGTATACTCTGGATATTAGGGCTCTATCTGAAGTGTGAGGAGTAAAGATTTGTTCCCAGGGTGTAGGCTCCCTATTTACCTCTCTTATTGTTTCTTTTGCTGAGAAAAAACTTTTTAGTTTGAGTAAGTCCCATTTGCTGATTCTAGTTATTAACTTTTGTGCTATGGGTGTCCTATTGAGGAATTTGGAGCCCGACCCCACTGAATGTAGATCGTAGCCAACTTTTTCTTCTATCAGACGGCGTGTCTCTGATTTGATATCAAGCTCCTTGATCCATTTTGAATTAACTTTTGTGCATGGCGAGAGAAAGGGATTCAGTTTCATTTTGTTGCATATGGATTTCCAGTTTTCCCAGCACCATTTGTTGAAGATGCTATCCTTCCTCCATTGCATGCTTTTAGCCCCTTTATCAAATATAAGATAGTTGTAGTTTTGTGGATTGGTTTCTGTGTCCTCTATTCTGTACCATTGGTCCACCTGCCTGTTTTGGTACCAGTACCATGCTGTTTTTGTTACTATTGCTCTGTAGTATAGTTTGAAGTCTGGTATCGCTATACCGCCTGATTCACACTTCTTACAGTTATATTTTAAGAAGTTCTTTATTGGTGACTATTTTTTCCCACTGTAAATTGTGCTATGATTAGGATCCTCATACATAATATTTAGGAGCATCTTTGATTTCCTAAGAATAAATTTTTTAAAAAAATTTTATTTAGTTTTAAATGGACACAATACTTTAATTAATTAATTAATTTTTTATGTCGTGCTGAGGTTTGAATCCAGTGCCTCATGCATGCCAGGCAAGCACTCTACCACTGAGCCACAACCCCAGGCCTCCAGGAAGAAATTCTTATAAGTGGCAAAGAAAATGAAGGTTTTGTTGGTCGTAATATACAAGCTCATTTTTTACATAAGTCGGTACCTTTTTGCTCCCTCTGGCAATGACTAAGGACCTTCTTACATTTTTATCAACATCATCAATAATAAAAACATATTTAAAATTTATTCAAAAATCAATTCATTTGAAAGTTGAAAATCACTTTTTTCTTTTTTTTTGGGGTACTAGGCACTAAACCCAGGGGTGCTTAACCACTGAACCATATTCCCAGCCCTTTTTTATTTTTTATTTTGAGACAGGATTTCACTTAAGTTTGCTGAGGCTGGCCTTGAACTTGCTTTTGTCTTGCCTTAGCTGCCAACTTGCAGGGATTATAGGCATGTGTCACCATTCCTGGCTCCAGCCTATTTTATTTTTTATTTTGAGACAGGATCTTGTTGTCAGCAAGTTCCTGTCTCAAAATAAAAAATAAAATAGGCTAAGTTATTGAGGCTGACCATCCTTCTGCTTCTGCCTCTGGAGTCACTGGGATTATAGCATATGCCACTGTGCCTGGCTTTTCATTGCTGCTGTTGCTTTTTTTTTTTTTTTTTTTGATACCAGGGATTGAACCCCAAGGGCCCTTAACCACTGAGCACATCCCCAGCCCTTTGTATTTTTTATTTTGAGACAAGGTCTTACTAAGTTGCTTAGGGCCTCCATAAGTTGCTGAGGCTGGCTTTGTACTTTTGATCATCCTGCTCAGCCTCCCCAGCCGCTGGGATTACAGGTATGTGCCACCATGCCCAGCTTCATTGCTTTTTAATTTATAGTAAATGATTACTCTTGGAGAGCTTTTTCCAATCTTTATTGACTGTTGTTTAGTTAGCCTTTTCATTACTGTGACCAAAGACCTGACAAGAACAACATAGAGGAGAAAAAGTTTATTTGGAGCTTTAGAGGTCTCAGTCCACAGAGGAGCTGACTCTGTAGTTTTGGGCCTGAGGTAAGGTGGAACATCATGACAGTAGAGCATGGTGCAGGAAAGCAACTCAGGACATGGCCACCAGGAAGCAGAGACTCACTCACCAGGGACAGAATATAAACCCCAAAGGCATGTCCCCAGTGACCTATCTCCTCCATTAATAATCTGCCTGCCTATAGTTACTGTCCAGTTAATCCATATCAGTGGCTTAATACACTGATTAAGTTAAGGCTCTCCTTACCCAATTATTTCACCTCTAAACTTGCTAGCATTGTCTCACACATGAGCTTTTGGGGAACACCTCATATCTAAACCATAACAACTGTTTTATAGATTGTTTTTCGTGTGTTCCCCCTCCTGATGTATTCATCTGTAGAGCTTCTTATAGTTTATATAATGTATAAAATATTAACTTTGTATCTTATTTACTTACAATTGTGGTTAATGTCTTAGCCATTATTTTGGTGGGTACTGGGGATTAAACCCGGGGTGCTTAACCACTGAGCCACATCCCCAGCCCTTTTTTGTATTTTTTAATTTAGAGACAGGGTCTCACTGAATTGCTTAGGGCCTTGCTAAGTTGCTGAGGCTGGCTTTGAACTTCGATCCTTCTGGCTTAGCTTCCCGAGCTGCTGGGATTACAGGCATGTGCCATCACGCCTGTCTTAATGTTAGCCAAAGTGCATAGTTCAGTAGTGCAAAGTATTCTCACATTATTGAGTAATAGATCTCTAGAACTTTTTCATCTTGCAAAACTGAAACTATATAAACCATATAAACAGCAACTCTCGTGTTCCTCCCCACCCCCTGGGATCATAGTTCTACTTTCTGTTTCTGTGAGTTTACTTCTTTAAACACTTCACATAAGTATAATTATATAGTATTTGTGTTTTTTGTGACTGGCTTATTTTCACTTAGCATAGTGTCCTAAGGTTTATCGGTGTAATATGACAGGATATCCTTCTTTTTAAATAATATTCTGTTATGTGTATCCATATTCTTCATTCATCCATGGATGGACATTGGTTTTCTTACATCTCTTAGCTATTATAATTAATGTTGTTAGGAGCACAGATGTGCATAATCTGTGATCCTGTTTTGAATTCTTTTGGATCCCAGGATCGGAATAACTTTGCATCCTTTTTTTAAAAAAATATTTATTTATTTTTAGTTGTAATTGGATACAATACCTTTCTTTTTACTTATTTATTTATATGTGGTGCTGAGAATTGAACCCAGGGCCTCTCACGCACTAGGCAAGTGCTCTGCTGCTGAGCCACAATCCCAGCCTGCTTCCTTTTTTAACATAAGCAAATGTTCCTGTAGGTTGGTTGTGTAACTGGAAAAGAGAATATTAATTTTGGGTTAAAAATCCAATATTTGAAAGAAAAAAACTGTTCTGAATATTTTTCTAAAACAAAATATTTCATGATAATTAAAAAACCCAACCCATTTAAATTTACAAAACTACATTTTATTGATTTTGCAGTAATCTCTAAACTCCATCATTTTAAAATGAAAGCAAATGAGTTGGTAAAGAATATTTATTTTTATGTCATATAGGTATATTCTGAGTTCTATTTTGGACCTGGCCTTATTTCTTTTTTGCATTTGGACATAGTGACTATTCTCTGAGGTTATAGTATTTTTAAATTCCAAGAAATCATTCAGATTGTAGAGCTGTCATTTTTATTTCCCTTGAAATAGAAGTTGTTAAATAGAAATTTCATTTCTGAGAGATAGTACTTGAGCAAGAAGGTCTTTATGACATTGCAGATGTGACTTTGCTTAATGTATTTGCTCCCTCTAGTGAGTATTCTTGTCTTTGTTTGCAACATTGCAGACTTAAGGCAAGAACTAGCAGTTCGGGAGAGACAACAGGAAGTGACCCGAAAGTCAGCTCCCAGTTCTCCCACGTTGGACTGTGAGAAGATGGATTCTGCTGTCCAGGCTTCACTCTCTTTGCCAGCTACTCCTGTTGGCAAAGGAACAGAAAATAGTTTTCCTTCACCAAAAGGTTTGTCTTTCTCTTTGAGTCTGTGTTAGATTATCAACTGAAGAGGATTTGTTGATGAAACAGGAGTTGCTAAGGTTCAATCAGTAATTGCAGTTTAAAAGTTGGTTCAATCAAGTGCTTTTGAAGCAGAGCAACTGTTTTCCTCAGCCACTGCTATGTAGGAAACAAATAATGGCTGCATTTAAGACATCAACAGCTTAATTGAGATTTTAAAAAGTGAAAAGTTTAGCAAGAAAGTTTACTTTTTAATTCTAGGAGTAGAACATATTCATGCAGGTGGGCTTTTTTTTTTTTTTTTTTTTTGGTGCTGGGTATTGAATCCAGGGCCTTGCTCATATTAGACAAGTATTTTACCATTGAACAAGCCCCATGAAGAAAAATTAAAAACAAAAAAAAAAGAAAAAATGAAAATCAAAACCATCTATAATCTTAACTACTTCAATACAATTGTCTTGAGCATTTTAAGTTTCTTACTGTGTGCTAATGTGTATTGTATTTGTGCACATCTCCTCTTCACACTCAAGTTTTGGAGCCATACTTAAATACAGTTTTATTTCTTGCTTTTGCTGCTTATCAGTATTATGTAAAACTAGAGGTTTTGAATAGATATGCCCATTCTGTTAACATGCTTCAGGAGCTGCTGTCATCAAAGGTGACCTTCAGGGTAACTGGTGAGCTGTAGTTTGAGAATATTGCTTTTGCTGTCAGATAATGGCAAAAGCAATCTGGAGAAGAAGAAAAACCACTTAGTAGTCACTAGATAGAACCTTAGAAGAAATCCCAAAGCTCTCAATTCAGATTTTAGTTTTTGCAGCTCATATCTCAGCTATTCTCACTCTTCCATGCTGCTTTCATCCCAAACTGAAGCAGTCTTTCCTCCTACCCTTTTTAAATTATAGGGCTTTAACTTTCAGAGTAATAGAAGGAGGTTTGCTGTCTGGGCAATTAGTACAGTAAACTGTGTATCTGGACTGCTTGATAAAGTAGCCCCTAGCCACATATGACTTTTAATTTATACTGATTGAAGGGCTGGGGATATAGCTCAGTTGATAGAATACTTGCCTTGCATATATAAGGCCCTGGGTTCGATTCCCAGCACCACCAAAAAAACAAAACAAAACAAAAAACAAACAAAAAACCCCACAAAACTGATTGAAATGAAATTAAATATAAAGTAAGTTTATCAGTTGCACTAACCACATTTCAAATTGTCTTAGGCTTATTATGAGACAAAAGTAGGTAAGGCAAGTGAAAATGCTATGTAGTCATATAGCACTAGTTATTAATTATAGTAGAATGTTCTGAGTTTGCTGCAGACACTGTAGTTTATAGCTGTCATCAGAAGCTCTCACTGTCAGATACTTATGTATCTGAAAACTTTACAATTATCGAACTCTGAGAATTAACAAAGTTTTGCTTTTATGCTGTTAATTAGAACATATAGATAAGTTCTGAAAATTCTTTTGATTGTTTACCAGTCAGAATAGTTGAAAGCCTAGGTTGGGTGAGACCAAAGACAGTGCACATTCTTTGATAGCCCGTTAGAGTTTTTATTAAGGAGTAAACAGGACACAGGACCTGCCTTGGCACAGAATTAGACATAAACCCTAAGGCAGGGTTGACAAATAGATACAATTTTATTTTATTTTTTTAGTTTTAAAAAATGTTTAACTACAGAGAGCTGGGGTTATAGCTCAGTGGTAGAGTGCTAGCCTAGCAAATGTGAGGCATTGGGTTCGATCCTCAGCATCACATAAAAATAAATAAATAAAATAAAGGTATGTGTCCATCTACAACTAAAATTTTTTTAAAATTTATAAAAAATATTTAATTACAGAGTATGATTTTATTTTTATGTTATTTTTTATTGGTTCTTTTTATAGATACATTTGTATATTGGAACCTTCTAATAAAAGTTCTAACAGGATCTTTAAAATTGAGAAGTTGAAGTTCAAGTTATTTTAGAATAGTAGATGTGTAAGAATGGTTAAGAAAAGTTTGAAATAGGCTAATAACAAGAAGGGGCTTTGCCTTCTTAGATAGCAAAAATAGATTTTAACACTGTATTAATTACTTCTACATGGTACTCCATTAATACATACAATTTTTATCAGTTAAAATGAAAAGAGTAATACTTCTCATGGCATAGACTTAAATAATTCAGTGAAACTGAAATATATATAAATAGTTAGGAATTCAGTCTATAGTCCTATTTCAGATGTGAGGTCTTACCTAAATGATATTAGGAAAGTTGGCTATCCATTTGGAGGAAAAACATTTAGATACCTATATTATCTCTCTCTCTCTCTCTTTTTTTTTTTTTGTGGTGCTCAGATTGAACCCAGGGCCTTGTGCATGTGAGGCAAGCACTGTAGCAACTGAGCTATATCCCCAGCCTCCTCTACATTATGTCTCAGGCAGCCATAAATTACAGGTGCATTGAATGATCTAGGTTCCTTCTGCCCGCTGTGCTGGAGATTAAAACCCAGGGCCTTGTGCATGCTATAATACTCTCCACTGAACCATCCCCCTAACCTTCAAATGATCTAAATGTTAAAAAAGATTTAGAAAACTACTGAGGGAAAATATGGGGAATATTTTTTAGATCACGGAGATGGGGAAGCCAAAGGTTTCTCCTGTCCCTGGCCAAAATAAAGTTTAAAAGATAAATGTTACACTCAGAGATACATGTACATAAGAGAAAGGGTTAGTTGGAAATAGTATATTGATTTTCTTTGGAGCGTGTACTCTGTTGTTGCAACAACAAAACCCAAACGTAAAGGGAATTGCTAATGTCATCACTCTCTTTTTCTTTAGCTATACCAAATGGTTTTGGAACCAGTCCACTAACTCCTTCTGCTAGGATATCAGCACTAAACATCGTGGGGGATCTCTTACGGAAAGTAGGGGTAAGCATTTCATTATTTTATCACTAGGTGTTGCCATTGCGCAGTAGGATTGAGTTGTTTCTTAATTGGAAGTGAAGGAGGAATAAAAGGATACTTTCGTGTGGTAAAAAAATCTGTAACAATAAAGTTGAGAAGCAAAGGCATCCAGTGACTAGTAGAGACCAGTGCTGGGCTTTTGGTGCCTCTGCAGAAGGGCCTGAGCTTTGAGGTTACCACTCGGGTGATCTTTGAGTTCCCTACTGCTGTGTTTATAGCATGACATCTCTGTCTCTGTTTAAGATACTTACTGTGAAGCCTCTAAGTGTCTTTGACCACCCTCTAATCCTTGTTTTCCATTTTCCTGGTCATTCCCTCATCTTTTATTTTGTGGGATGTTGACATTTGGCTTGTGGCATTACTACTCTTTGTTTCTATCTTATTGCTCTTGGAACCACCTTAACTTTAGTCCATTCTCTTTAGCTCTAACCTTGTGTTCCATAACAGTTTGGTTTTTGAAATATTAAACTAGTTTTTCTGCTTAATCAGTTGTCTGTTTTGAGGCATTCTTGCTATGATGCTCAGGCTTTAAATTCCAGGGCTCAAGTGATCCTCTACTTTAGCCTCCCCAGTAGCTGGGACTACGGGTGTGTGCTGGCATGTCTGGCTTCTTATTCGTTTTTTTTTTTTGTTGTTTTTTTTTTTAAATTCTGTTTAATGCCTACCATTTGACTTTACCAGGAGTACTGATTTGTTTATGTATTGTTGTATTTGTCTTTATCAGCCATCTCTTGCTTTCCTTTTCTTTCTACTCCTCTGTTATGACACAGTTCACTTATTCTGTGGCTGTTGACTTCTTGTTCTCTTTGATCATAAAGGGCTGCAATCTGGAACAACTAAACAGTTGGATTACTGGAAACAGTTATAGGACCATGTGGATTGATGTCATTACTATAACATTCCCATTTCTAGCATTAACTTTCTTTTTCATTTCTCTCAGTGACTTTTATCACTCATTTTCAGTAACCAACTCTTAAAACTTCTACCGTCCACACCACCCCTTCACTTATTTTTGTGTAAAAAATTTTCTGGAAAAATTAGAAATTGCATTATACTTTAAAGAAGAAATAGGAGGCCAACACACAATGTCCGATGTTTGCCTTTTTTGACTCAAAAAATGAATTATTTTCAAACTGTCTGATTTTCTCTCATTTTAAAGTTATTACAATAAAGAGAAATGTGCATGAATCATTCATGTAGGACATAGATTAATCTTTTAAAAAAAGTTTTTTTTAGTTATAGATGGACACAATACCTTTATTTTATTTCTTTATTTCTATGTGGTGGTGAGGATCAAACCCAGTGCCTCATCTGTGCTAGGCAAGTATTCTACCACTAAGCTACAATCCCAGCCCTAATGTTTCTTCATTCCAGAGATGCCAAGATGACCATGTTTTAACTCTCCTTTTCATAAGAGTTGTGTACACCCTTATAGCTTAAAATGATTTGTTTGTCTTCATCTTGATTTAATCACCTTGAAACAACAACAAAATAATTTAACCTACCACTTCCCATTTCATTTTCATTTTTTATTCATCTGTTATTAAATAACTCTCTCTCTCTCTTTTGGGGGTGGGGGGATTGAACTTAGGGGGCACTTGGCCACTGAGCCATATCCCCAGCCCTATTTTGTATTTTATTTAGAGACAGGGTCTCACTGAGTTGCTTAGTGCCTTGCCATTGCTGAGGCTGACTTTGAACTTGAGATCCTCCTATCTCAGTCTCCCAGGTGCTGGGATTACAGGTGTGTGCCCACCATACCCAGTTCTTTTTTTCAATATGGTGCTGGGGATCAAACCCAGGGTGTCATACATAGTAAACACATGCCGTACTACTGAGGTACAGCCTTAACCCTAAATAACTTTTTAAGCCTCTGTTTCGGAATTACTAGACTCTATCTCAACTCCCTAATCTCTCCTCCTCGCTCTCTTCCTGCTCCACTGCCCCTTCTTGAGCTCTCTCTTGGTTCTGATTAAAAAGTAGTCAAATAGACTTTACATTCTGATGCCCATGTATGACATTTACTGCATAATCATAGAGGAGGAGTTGGGCCCATGGTATTTGTGCCACTCAATAGATGTTTCAAACATTTTGTTTATTGTTTACTCAAAATCATAGCATATTTGTATCTTAGCTGACTTGTATGCCAAGTTTTCTTTTCCTAGCACTTAGAATTACCTTTCTTTTTTGTGGTTGAAGAAACATGCTTTCTTTGTGATCTCTCTTTATCTTCCAGCTTCTCATTCACACTCTGCTGAATGCCTTGATGTACTTCTAGTGCTGTTGTGCCACTGTCATCCTAGACTTTGTCTCCATCATACTCTTGGTTGGTTCTACCTGCCACTTGAATTAATTTTCTTTGTTCCTTTTTTGATTTGCTTTTATGTAATTTATTCAGAAGTGGTTAATTTTCTTTGTTCCTTTTTTGTTTTGCTTTCATATAATTTATTCGGAAGTGGTGATGAAAGTTTAATTTGGAGTCTTTACATGGTTTACCTATTTAGCCAACAGTCTGTCTTCTAAGATATCACTAAAACTTTTGGTGTGCAGTTATCCACTAGTCCCTGTGAGAGCTTTCATGCATATTTCATTTGTGCTGTCCCCACTCTTATAGGCTAACACTCCATTCCTGTTATCCACTATCTCTTCACAGAGAAAATCAAGGCCATCTGATTTAAACTTAATTTCTTCTCTTGCCTTCTGTTATTTCCCTCCTGTCATTACCTCTGTAGCCATTCTTCCTTTTTGTCTCAGTGGTAAAAGTGTCAGATTGCTGCCAGTGGCTAGTATTATCCATATGTGCTTTGGATTCCATTCTTTTCAACCTTTTTAATCTTTACTTCTCCATATGTAATATTTGTATATTCTGTGATATGTATTATACACATACTATAATCTTTATGTGTAATGTTTATGTATCACATATTACTATTTTTGGTGCTAGCAGTTGAACCCAGGGCCTTGTGTATGCTAAGCACATACCCTACCACTGACCTGCACTCTCAGCCCCTTACATAATTTGTTTTTTTAAATCTTTAAAAGCAAAAATAAAGCAGCTCTTCATTCCTTTTACACTGCATGTCTCTTTAGCCTCACCCTTCTCTCTTCACTTCACAGCCAAGCCTTTTGAAAGCCTGTCTACATTTATTGTTAGCATTTTGACCATGCACAAACTCCCTAGACATTCTGGTCTGGGCTCTGTTCCCTGCTCAATCCACTAAACCTGCACACTGGTGATCTCAGTGCTGTCAAGCCAGTGTGTGCTGTTCTAATTTTGTTTGAAACATTCAATGCTGACCTGCTTTTTTTTCTCCCTGAAATGTCCTCTTTCCTCTGCTTCCCTGACATTGTTTAATGGCTGCTCACACCTTTTTGCCCAGTTTTCTTAGTCATCTTGTTGGGTCTTTGCCTGCCCTTTCTGGTTCTGCTAAGAGTTCCATCCTTGGTTTTCTGATTTTATAATTCACAACCATGAATTTATCCATCGCTGGGTGTGGATGACATCTGAATCTTAGCCTCTAGATTATCCTTTTCCCTTGAAAAGACCCCAGTGCTCACGCTTGTGTGTGTCACTGATGCCTCAAACAAAACTTGTGCCTGCCATGTGGCAGATGCTCAGAAAATAATTTGAATGAATAGACAAGTGTGTTCACTGAATATAGGGAATTCATGACTTTCAGTGTCTACTGTGGATGTGTATATTTACAAGTCAGTAAATGATTTTCACTCAGCTTATCTTATAATGTCATTACCTTTCTTCTCCTTTCTGTCATTATTTTACTAGCTCATTATACTTTTTGTCATAGGAAGGAGGGAGGAGAAAAAAATTTTCAGGAAGTTTTTACTGCTGTTTCCTAAGCAGTCTTATTGAAATTTTAGGAGTAGGACATCCAAGTGGATTCTCAGAAGTATACGTTATCTTCGGATTTAATTTATCTGTGCATTTCTAGTCTTTTAGTGTCATGGATGACAGGAGTGGACTGTATATTTTGTCCCTTTTGTTTTGGCCATGGATTATATTTTCCTTTTTGGGGAGTGGTATTTGATTTGGTCAGAGTGTTGATGGGAAGGAGGAAGTTGGTGATATCTGCATATGTGGAAATAGATGAGAAACTTTAATTCTCGTCATGTAGTTTGTTAGTTGGTAGAGCCTGACGCTTGCTAGGTGCTATGACAGGTGCAAAGTACAAATACTCAATTTAGAAGTAAATGCTAAGGGCCAGTATTATTTTCAGGTGAGTTATTAAATTATAGACAAAGAGTATCAGTTAAACAATGTGCTCTCAGAAATAAAATGACTTTTAATTTCTTCTGAGGTTGTTGTAAATGCTTTTGTATCCATTCTGATGCATTGGAAAAACCAGACAGAAGAACCTATTCAAAGAATTGGCTGCATTAAAAACATTCTCAAGTTATATTTTTGGATTCTTTATAGTGCTTGCTCCCAACACACACACATCTCACTTCAGCCAATACAGATAATGGATGGGGTCAAGAGACCTGGGATCTGTCTGTACCTACTGTGCCACATTTTTCTTAGTTGTCAGGTGGGAATTGTGTCTGTATCCCTCAATAAGACTGACAGGAATAAATACTCTGGGCTCTTTAGAAGGAGAGTCCATATAAGTGTTTCCTCTTTCTATTAGAAAGGTGATCGATCATGGCTTAACTAAACCACCATTATCAACCAGGAGAGCAAAGGCTGAAGCTTGAAATAGATATGGTTTGGAATGCAAAATTTTCTCTACATCTCCTGTTTTGACAACCAAATCATTCTTTCTTCCTTTCATAGGCTTTAGAATCCAAATTAGCAGCTTGCAGGAATTTTGCAAAGGACCAAGCATCACGAAAATCCTATATTTCAGGGAATGTGAACTGTGGAGTGATGAATAGCAATGGCACAAAGTTCTCTCGATCAGGGCACACGTCTTTCTTTGACAAAGGGTAAGTCCTGGATTTTTTAAGTGATCAGTTTTGGAGTAGTAATGTTGCAGAAAAAGTCAACAGATTATGAGTCTTGAGAACATACACTCAGTTTGATAAACCCAAAGCCAATTCTCATTCAAATCCTGGAAGACAGAAATCTGTTGTCGTCTTCTGGTCTCTGTGGAGTCTGTGCCTCTGGTGCCTGGAGTATGCAGCTTCTGTTCTGGGAGCAGACCCTTGAAGGCAGCAGTGCTGGGCTTGGGTGATTCTGTAGGGCTAGCTGTGGTCCCAGTTCTCCACATTTTATGGCCTATGACTCACTTGGCGAATCTTTTTAAAGGATAGAAATGAATACATCCAAACTTCTTGAGAAAATCCCTTATCTGAAAATTTTAGAAAAATATAAAATCCAGAATTATTAGACACTGGATCAAATTCATTTTAGGAGATACAACTTCTGTATAAAGTGGAGACTTTTTTTGGGAGGATTTAAAAAAAAAATTGTCTTAAGATTGAAGGCAGAGGTATATTATTAATAAAAGAATTCAGTTGGTATATAAGTTTGTGAACTTAAAAGTGCTATTTTCTGCTATACTATTTTTTTTGCATTCCTTAGAGTTATTCTTAGGCATGCAAAATCATTTTTATGCATCTGCTGTAAGTTTTCTGCAACACACACAGGATTATACTTTAAATGTTGCTCTGTATCATTTTTATCATGACTTACATTGCCTGTATCTTTCCATGTCATTACATATTGTTCTACCTGATTTTTTAAAAAACATTGCATGACTATCCTTCTATTATGGGCATGCCTTAATATGGGAAACTAGTTAGGGCCTGTGGCCTAGGAATACTGACCATTTTACTTTAGGTAGCTGTTACTGTAACAAGCAGCTGAGGTACCCATGATCCCTTGTCATTGTCTCTGCTTTGAGTCCTGAAGACAGTTCTTCCTTGTTTTTTTGTGTGGAAGAAATGCAGGCACAACTCTAGAAATTTTCACAATTTTTTAAAGAGCTTATGTTTTCTGCTATCCTCAATAATTACAGAATGTTTACAGAGGACCAGTTTGATACACAACCTATTTTTAAAAGGATCTTATTTTTCATCCTTACTGTCCATAGTAGTGTTGTTTTATCTCTGTGCCTTAAGAGAATTCTGCCCTGAAGTATATACATTTCGTAGATATTCTTTTAAAAATACATTGAAAAATATAAATATATAAATCAGAACTCTGTTCTAACTTTTGTAGTTTCTTTGGTGGGGTAAGTATAAAATTAATTTTCCTTAGGTTTAGGAGTTTCAGGAAAACTTGGGGAGTTACCCCTGTGTTTATACTATAATGAATGATACATGGAATATTTATTTATTTATTTCACACAAGAGTAACCATTTCCCTCAATTTATAAGGAGAAAGTTTAAGGGAAGTCTTCAAGAGCATTGGAAATAAGGTCTAATTATTTTCTCCTGCAACTTCTAATTACCGCCAGTAGAGTAGTTGTTAATCTCTGTCTGCAAGCATATATTTTGGTGGGCCTCAGGTATCTTGTGACATGAGAACAGGAAAGACCCAGAACTGGATTGGTTGGACAGGTGCCTTTGTGTGTGAAGTGCCTCAGGATGGTCACAACAGGGAGGGAGGGATAACACGATCTGTTCAGGCTCTTTGCTCCTGCCTTTCATTTGCCTCTGGTCATAGAGGAGCAATTGCCCAGAGATGAACCCATTCTTGGGGAAATGTAGGGGATCCAAAGTAGGCTGAAAGCTGGAGTGGCCTTGGGCTCTCTGCCGGAGCCCCCGCCCCCAGGAAGCAGGCTAGATGCAGTGTAGGCATTGTTTCCTGGACTGAACTGGGAAAGGTACTTCCCAATAGAACTAGTTCCAGGTGGTACTTGGTTTTGGTTTTAAATTATATGAATTTTATATTGTATTATTTCTACCAAAAGAGAAATATGCTTTTGTGGGCTGCCCCTTATTCAATCAAGTGTTGGGATTATTTGACAAATGGATTGTATATGTACACTGCAATACTAACCGACTGTTGCTTGAGTGATCTGTGGGTTTGCTGTGTTCACTTCATTAATGCTCTGCTTTGGCCATATCCCCAGCCTTTTTTTGTGTTTTTTTTAGAGACAGGGTCTCACTGAATTGCTTAGGCCCTTGTTAAGTTGCTGAGGCTGGCTTTGAACTCACAGTCCTCCTGCCTCAGCCTCAGCCTCAGCCTCAGGCTGCCTACCTTTGTATCTCCAGTCTTTCTTCTGCTGACCTTATGGATACACAAAAACCAAGATGGCATGTACCTGCTGCAAAAGGAAAGGAGGGAAATATCTCAATTCCCAGATCCATTAGTAAATCTGGCAGAGTGAAAAAAAAGGGAAATTAATCTTTATAGAAGTGTAGAAGTATGGTTTATAGTTTTATCATCTTGAACAGGCTCCTTTTTTAAAAAGCCCTAGGCTCCAGAATTTGCCTGTCCTACTTCTTGCCCCTGAGGAGGCTATAGTGATCGTTGTAGCTCACCAGTATGCCTTGAGACCTGTAGTAGGGTTTTTTGGGGGAGGAGTTATTTGTAAGTTTGTGTGGCGGAGTGATTAGGTTCACCCCACCTTCTCACCCCTTGTAGCAGATGCAATGACACCCTACCACATGAAACTATCCCTGAACTGGGTACATTGCTTTACAGGAGCGAGAAGTATTTTGTAAACCCTGGTTGAGGATTTTTTGGAATCAAGATTTTACCTAGTCTGGGATCTCTCTGCCAGTTCTTCAAATGCAGGCTGCTCTGCCTTCTTGTGCTGGTTCTTCCCACCCCCACCTTAAAGTCCTTCATGTCCCCATCTAAAAGGATACAAAATTTGTATGTGATATAGTAAGTTGAATTTGCTCCAAAACTTTTTTCTCCATAAATTTGATTTAGTTTCCTATATATCACTTACTCTATTTTTGCAAACCAGTCTCTTTTCTTTTTGGCTTCATGTAGGTGGGCATAGACTAATTTTAGAGCACAATGTGAAAATAGTATTTGCATTACTATTTAATGTTTTTTCCTTTTTTTTTTTTATTAGGCAAGAAAAAGTCATATTTCCCACGTTGTTCATGGGTAACTGAATTTGTTTGCTGTGCTCTTTCCCTATTTCTTAATCATGGTGTGTGGTGGAAGACACATTAACAAACTGGTTTTACTAACTGCATGGGGCTGATTCAGCTCTAACCAACTTACAGCCCATGAGAGAGCTTTCGAGATCCTATTTTACTTGACTAAATACCATTGCTCCATTATTACTATCTCAGCCATATGAAATAAAACTTCAGTAGATAGGCATGGTGGCCCATCACACTGGACTGTCTTCAGAGGGATAGAGCTCCTTCTGTTCTCCAATTGCTTTTCTTAAATCAGGCATAAGTAATTATGAACTCCTTTGCCTGTGTGCTTGCTTGTGTGTTCCCAGATTAAACTAGAATGGCAGATGGGATGCATGTATAAGATCTGCCTTAGTTTCAAAATTGCATTTCAGTTTGCACAATGCAGGTGAAGAATTGGAGCTGCTCAGAGCTTCAGTTTATGCATTGAAATAGGGTGACTCAGGCCCTTGAGTGTGCTTCCTGCTTTTCTGAATTAGCTCAAGCTGACTTCTCAGGTGTGCTGACCTCCTTCTTTGGCAGATTTAAGAGTTTCCCTCCTTTTTCTCTGTTGTTAGATTTATTCTAAACATGCATTAGCTCATTTCCCCTTTTTACTACTACGTTGCCATTTTACAACTGACTGTAGCACCTTTTCTTAGTCTCAGTTTTTCAGACTCCTTAACTAGATGCTGTGTAAAATCATAAATTTCATAGGTTGGGAACCTTTTCTTTTTGGTACTGGGGATTGAATCCAAGGACACTGCACCAATGAGCTACATCCCCAGGCTCCTTTTTATTTTTTTTATTTTAAGACAGGGTCTTGCCGAGTTGCTGAGGGTCTTGCTAAGTTACCATGGCTGGCCTCTTACTTGTGATCCTCCTGCCTCAGTCTCCTTAGTCACTGGAATTATAGGTATGAGCCACTGTGCCCAGCCTGGATAGTTGATTCCCAGATCTGTCCTTCCATCCCTTCCTGTTCTTCTTTTGAGTGCTGTGTGGTCCACTGGGACGTTTCCCTTTGACTCTTTTGCTATTTCTGATGTATATGGAGGCGATTTTTCTCTTGGGATCCTTTCTCCTTTGTAGTTCCCCGGAGGGACCTCACCTGACTGAAAATCCTACCTATAGGATCAGTGTTCTTCCTCTGGTTCTAATTTCCCATTTTTTCCCCAAATAAGTTTATCAGTGTATTATAGTTGTCCATTTTGATGGGATTTGACTCAGAAGAGAGATGCTGAGACCCTGGCAGATTGTCCTCTTTTCTGTACTCCACCCACCTTCAAGTCAAGAGTTCTACTTGGAGAAGTTACTTACCTAGTTCCAGTTTGCCCTTTTATCCTGGATTGTACTGCTTATTTTTCCCCCTAGAGTTTTTGTGCACTGGGAGCACCAAAGTGACTGCTTGCTGATGACTGTTGAGTGGCTTCTGACCAAAGGAGGCTGGTAAGGGCTAGTGCCCTGGGCATGTGGAGGCAGGTTGTGGCCCAGCTTCCCCACAACTCACTGGGTGAGCTTGAGTTCATGATTATACCTTCTGTTTGGTTTCCTTAGCTCTATAAAATGGAGATAAACTTGATATTTCTTTAAAAGTCCATCTAACTTTAAAATGCTGGAAACCTACCTCCAAACCTGCAAGGACCCACTCTCGTGGTTGCTGCTTTTGTGTGTCCTATAGACCAGGTGCCAGATTCTTCTTGGCAACCCACAGTGCTCCCTCTCTGCTGACTTTTGGTGGCTATCTGTAGTAAAGCTGGCCCATCACAGTGATTTGTGATGCCAGGAAACTAAGTCACATGTTGGAAACTGAGGCCTTTTGTCTTGTTCTTCTTGAGGTTTCTGGGAGGAGCCAGGAATCGGGGATACTGAGACTAATCAGACAAATGACAGATGGCCTTATTAGATGAGTGCTACAATGACATAGGATGTGGCCCCCAGCCTCAGTGACAACATAGGCATGTAATCTTGGGAGGAGAATGAGGAAAGATGATTTAAAGTTTTTAAGTGATGAAGCTCAAAAATCAGACTTCCCTTATCCCAAAAAGAAAAGAGAAAATTCAGGCTGTCTATCACTGAAGTAGAACATTATACAACAAGGTGAAGTCACGTTCATCGGAGCTTCCCATCCATTGTTCTTAGTTTCTTTTGTGTGTGGCTTGATTTCAGATTCCAAATGTGTTTGATTTTTTTTGGTGGGCGGGGGGTACTGAGGATTGAACTCAGGGGCACTCAACCACTGAGCCACATCCTCAGCCCTATTTTGTATTTTATTTAGAGACAGGGTCTCACTGAGTTGTTTAGCACCTTGCCATTGCTGAGGCTGGCTTTGAACTTGCGATCCTCCTTCCTCAGCCTTCCAAGCCACTGGGATTACAGGCATGTGCTTGCTGGGTTGTGTTTTTCTTGAGATACAAACTCTGTTGCTTCAAAGTAGTCACAGGTTCTTTGTCAAGTCTCTATATGCCTGTTTCTCTGAGATTATAGTTGCTTCTTCAGAGGATGAAAAACTGTAGTCTTTGGGAGGAATTTGTAACACCTCCCACCCCTTCCTTCTCTCTCCAGCTCCCTGGGTCAGCTCCTGGACCCATTCTATAAGCAAGTGGAGGGTAGTGGTAGGCAGGTGTGGCGCAGTGCAGCCCCTTGCAGTTGGCTGTCTCCCCACAGTTGCTAGTGGGACAGATTCTCTTTGGAAGTTTTTCAGGACAGAAAAGGCTGAAGTAACCTCCCGAGAGAGGTTTTAGGCCCCTCCCTCCATTCCTTCCTTACTGCTTCCTGTGGCTGTGCTGCCAGGTGGTGGGGTTGGGGGCTCTTGACCTTGCTGGGTGTGGGGGCTGGTGCTTGTCGGGGGCTGGGGTCCTTGTATGAGTCTGCAAAGAAAAGCCTACCCAATTGACTTTGCTTGCTAAACAATTTTTAAGAAGTTATTTTTTTCTGTCTTAAAGAGATTTGGAAAATAATTAAGTATAAAGTAGTAAACAAAATTTACTTAGTATTCAGAGGGAAGAAAGGTAATGATTGTTAAATTCTACTTCTGTGATATATATAATACATGTATGTATATGTATGTGCATATATAATGTATGTGTATATAGAATCCACACATTCTCTATTTGTGTACATAAGACCCACAACACTGTAGAATCTAGGTTATATATTGTTTTCTTAAGATCATGGAACATAGGCATTTTCCATTTAGCATTAAGTACATTCTAAATATTTTCCCATGCTATTAAAAAACTTGAAGAATGTGTATGATATTTCATTGTGTTGTCATACAATCATTTATTTAACTAGTTCACTATTGCCAGTCATTTAGATCTGGTCTGTGGGGAAAAAAATCAGGACTGTGGCTGCAGTGGTCAGTGTGACGAAGTTGCTCAGGTGGGTCAATGTGGGTCTGGGTATCCCAGACTAAAAATGTACTCTCAATTATCTGGCCAACTGATGCTTTTTGGGATGCCACTCACCCTTGGGCTGTCAGGATTGTACTGTAGGCCAGGTGAGGACTAGTTAGAGAAAGCAAATGAATTTCTTATTGTGTGTGGAGTACTTTTAAATGACAGTCTCTCTTTCTCTTTCCCTTCCCTCCCTCTCTCTGCCATGGTCGCTCCACAGGGCAGTGAACGGCTTTGACCCAGCTCCTCCTCCTCCTGGTCTGGGCTCTTCGCGCCCCTCTTCAGCTCCGGGTATGCTGCCTCTCAGTGTGTGAGTGCCCGGCCTCCAGGTGGGGGCTCCTGCCCTCCTCCAACAGCCCAGGACACCCACGCCTCACCCCTTGGTGCCTGGGCCCAGCCCTGTGCCCTTCCATCTGCCTCCCCATGGCTGGCAGAGGGCAGGCTGCATGTAGTGGCGGCTGCTGGGCCCTGCCCAGCCCCAGGACTCTGCGTGATATCAATACTGGCTATTTTTTCCTTCTCGCCGTAGTGCCGTTGGTTTCACATGATTGCACTTTTGTGGGTCACAAGGTGATACATACGTGTATTACTTGGTTACTGGATGCAGAAGTATCATTCATCACACCTGCCTCATAGCCCCCACTCTGCTGTACTGATAGGATTTAGTTGTGTTTAGGACATTGCAGATCTTCTAGAAGTTTTTCCCCAAATCAGGTTTACATGTGCCCTCTCCTGAGCTCCCACCCATGCATCTTCAGTGCTCATGATCATGTGTCCCCCAACTTCATCCCCACAGTTTGAACTGTTTCTGGCAGAGTCAGGAAGGTCACTGAATTAGGGAAACATTGTCTATACCTTCTGATTTTATGTAAGCAGTTACCATTCCATAGTCTTGCCTCCAAAGCAGCAAGATGCCCTCTGAGTGGCAGGTGGCAGGAACCTCCAGGCCTGGGCACTCACAGGGCTGAGCTTCCATGCTGCTGCGTCGTCCATGTGCCTCAGAGGTGGGTGGCAACTTCCTCACCAGCTTTCTGGTCCTTCAGTTAAATGCCATCTTCAGAACATTTTTGTTTTATCCTCTGAGGGTCCGTCCAGTTGCATTGGGAAGGATTGAGTGGCCTGATTCCGGGGGCTGGCTGGTGCCAGTTCCTGGTGGCAGACTGACCAAAAGTGGTTGTCCCTGTGCATCCTTTGGTTACTCTCATGCTGCATTTACTGTTTACATTTGTTTTATTGTACATAGGTTTGTAAACATTATTGCCTAAGATATTTGTATATAACTTGGGCTTTGTAGCTTTTATTTATTCAGAACTCATATGGCATGTTAATGACTTATGATGGTGTCCTTCTCTGGGGCAGCTGTATAGGATCATCATGTGGCTAAAAAAAAAGAAAAAAAAAAAAAAGAAAATACTTCCCCTCAAAAAAAAAAATCTTTTAATGTGGAAACAATAAATTTCACAAAAAAAAAAAAAAAAAAAGGATTGAGGTTGCTTTATTGGGTTCCTGCCATCCCATGAGAGAGAGCTGGAGTGTACAAAGGCCAAGTTCAAGTGTCTCTTTTGCTCTGATATGTGATGTGCAGATGAACAGCAGCTGTGGAGTACACAAAGAAGATTCAGGTGGCCTTGGGAGATGTGCAGGGAACAGGCGTGCTCATGACAATTCTTTGTGCTGGTTACCAGCTCTATTTGATTTCCAGGGGCAGCCCAAGAATGTCCCAGGCCCCATGTGAAAATCTGGGGGAAGATTCAGGACTTTGAGGGATGGGGCTTGCCAGGTCATGGAGTAACTAACTGGGATCGGTCCAGGAGCTGGTCCTCCAGCTGTGCGGCCTTATGACAAATGTTTTGGGATTACAAGTTGCTTGGATCTGGACTTGTCTCCTGTTATTCTCAGGTTAGTGCTAGCAAGTGAGAGAAGGTGCTAGATGTGTGGTTCCAAGTACAAGGCAACATGCCAAGAAACGTGTAAACTGGGGGTATGTGTGAATACGTCAGGTTTTGAACACTGCTACCTTACAGCAGCATATACAAATGGCATACTTCATAGTTTTAAAACTATAAGTGAATGAAAAGTCAAAGTCCTAAGTGAGTAAGAAGTGTTAAGTAGGATACATATTCAAATATTTTTGCTGTCAAGGAATGTCTGTCATTCACTGTTGCTGGAAATTTTGTCATAAGCTGACTCACCTAAAGGCATTTGCAGTGGTGTGTGCTGTGCCCAGCTCTGCTGGTAGAGCAGAAGGAAAGAAAACTCCAAGTCTCTTATTGCTTTTTTGTTCTTGCTGTAACAGGGATTCAACCAGGGGTGCTTCTACCACTGAGCTCCCTAGTCCTTTTTACTTTTTATTTTGAGATAGGGTCTTGCTAAGTTGCCCCAACTGGCCTTAAACTTGTAATCCTCAGGCCTTAGCCTTCAGAGTCATCGGAATTGTAGGTGTTTGCCATTGATGTGCAGTAGCTCCCAGCTTCTTGCCCAAGTATCATTGGAAGGATTGGATTAGATCGGTGGTTTCGGCATATAGCAGACGTCTTTGTTCATGTAGGAATCCTAAATCTGAAACCTATCAAGCAGAGCTACTCTGGTTTAAGCAAGGATGAGATTTGGAAACCTGAGTCATCATCCCTGGATTCCCAGTGTTTTCTCAGTTCCTTAGCAGCTGCATACCTCTGGGTTCATCTCACCCAGACTGTTCTTTCAATTGTTGATCAGTTGGTTGATGGCTGGGGATGGGCCCCATGTATTCACCAGTCCAAAAGACCACTGGCTATATCCGTGAAAGAGTAGTAGTATGATGTTAGACTTAATTCTAGTCCCTTTGGGAGTAGACCCTCACTTGTTTTTTTTTTTTTTTTTTCTCATGACTGTAGTAGCCCTTTGCATATGGCCCTGTAAGGAAACTGTTTGGCTCTGTAAGCCTCATCCATTTTTTTAGATGATTTTGTTCAATATTTTGCTTTGTACTTTTTCACATAGAGCATTTGCAACTTGGTGTGAATGTTGCTACTCACTGTTTGCCTTTTTAGCTAAAGATCTCCTCTGAATGGATTTCTTCCTAGGGCTGCCCATTGCCTGGCTGTCAGGAATGAGCCCCCTCCACGCTGGGTCCACGTGATCTTCTCACCTGGAAGCAGCTGATCTTCCGGATGGCAAAGCACAGCCTCTTGCCTCCAGATGTTTTTACTTCACCACCAGTCCCATCCCTCGCTCCTGAAACATCTTCCTGGATGAGAGTAGGAGCCAGTGTTCCTCTTCCTTTCAGCCCAGAGTGGCCAGAAACTCTACTAACTCATTTCATAGTCCAGAGTCCCTGTGAGGCATGGGAGAGCCATGTGGAAGTGGCCGAGCCCAGCAGGATAGTTATTTTTTCCTCAGTTTGCAGAAGGGACAGTGTGCCCAGAGAGTTGGCCTTCCTGGAACTCACACAGCTAGCTCAGAGCAAAGCCAAGATGGGAAAGAGGCCAGTGTCTTTTTCCACTATGCCTTTCCAAACTTGAGTCTTTGCTGGCCTTAGCTTCTGTGGTCTGCCTTTTCCCTCAGGAGGTGAGTAGGTTTTGAAGGCTTGGAAATGATGAGCTGTGCGGCCAGCACAGCTGTGCAGCAGGAGGAATCCAGTTCCCCCAGCCCTCCCTCCCTCCATGTCCCGCTCTTGCTGGACTGTTCACTCTGCCTCTCTCAGAAGCTGTTTCAGAGCTGCCATTAGCATCTCCTGAGAGCTGGGATGGAGGCCAGCACATTTGGGAAAATGGGAGAAGGTGTCCTGGGAGAGAGCCACAGCTTTAGGGAGCACCCTATACCTACCTCACCCTCTCCTCCCTGAATAAAACTGAGGAACCTGCCTGGCTGCTGGAGGGAACATGGGCAAGTGTTGGGATGGGCTGAGCAGTCAGTTGATTTCACTGTTGGAAGACACCAAGATAAGCCCTTTCACATTCAAGTTTTTCCTTCATGGTTGTTTTTCTCTGTTTTCCCCAAAGGTTAAGACAAATTTTTAAAGCCAAGCCAAGCCAAAAAAAAAAAAAAAAAGTGATTCTTTTCTAAAAATGAGTAGAGGAGAGCAATCATCTTTGAAAGTCACTTTCCTGTGACTTTAAGCACCTTATATGAAAAATTGTCCCATGATTATTAAAAATGTAACTTATGGGAATATAGTAGTCTTTTTTTGAATTTTAAGGAAAAAACACTAATGGAGTAAATATGAATGTAACAGATTTCCTTTATAAGTGTACATGTGAAGAGGCAAAATTGAAACTGAACAAATCTTTTTTTTAGATATATATAATTTTTAGTTGTCGATGGACCTTCATTTTATTTATTTATATGTGGTGCTCAGAATTGAGCCCAGTGCCTCACACATGCTAGGCAAACGCTCTACCACTGAGCCACAACCCCAGCCCCTGAACAAATCTTAATAGTGCTTGCATTGGGGATCAAATGGGGTTCGTGTTGCGGGGGGTTTTGATTCGAGGTCCTTTTGTTCATTTACATCTACAGGAATTCTGTTAGAGTGTCCTGTCAGCTCTTTAGGAAGCCTCCCCCGAGGGACACATATTACACACTGAACTTGAACTTTTCCATTTATGGGGTGTTTTCTGATCAGGTGTCAGTTTCTTGTCTCCATGACACAGTATGGAGATGCTGCCTGGACCATGGTTTGCGGGTGGAGGCCTGGCAGAGGGCAGTGGGTTCACTTGTGCTGGCTGGTCAGCCTGGGCTGTAGGTTTTCTGGACATGGTTGAGGAAACAGATGAGTGATGTCTTAATGACACTCAGCCCTGCTGCTTCCTGTAGTAGAGGATGGAGCTAAGAAACACTTGCTTTGGTTCCAAAAAAAAAAAAAAATGTGATTGATTTAACTAGGAAAAAAACTGTTAATCCCATTGTCAACTGGAATGTAGAAGAGGTGGACTTTCGTGTCACTGGTTTCTTTGCTATTCTGTATGTCTGGAATCATTCTAACAATGTGATAAGCTATGAAAACTACTTTTCATACTCTGTGATGGTAAGAACAAATCATACAAGTTTCAATGGCTGTAATACAGTGTTGGTTGGTAGGGAATGGTCAGGATGAGCCCCTGAAAACGTGCAGCCATTGCTTACACACAAGACTGAAAATGACCAATGGAGAAGGACACAAACAGGAACATGCTTATGACAACTTTATTAGGGGAGAAAAATTGAAATGCAAAGGATGCAGATGGCTTACTCTGTGGCTTCTAAATTTTTTACTTTAAGTTGCTCAGATTAATTTTTGAAAAATTGGCCGAATACTGATTTTCATCCATTGTCCTTCTGTGATGAAGAGTTCAAGGTTTTCGAGCAGTAGCAACACAAGGCAGTAGCTCCCTGATTGCCCAGTGACCAGCTCAGTCATACCTGGAGAAATGTTAGAAGCTTCCCGGGGCTGGGGTTGTAGCTCAGTGGTGGAACCCTTGCCTAACACATGTGAAGCACTGAGATTGATCCTCAGCATCACATAAAAGAATAAAAGAATGAATGAATAAATAAATAAAGGTATTGAGTTCATCTACACCTTAAAAAAATATAGTAATAGAAAAGGAGGAGGAGGAGGAACAGCTGCTGCTTTCCAGGTCCCCGAGTCCTGGCCTTGAAGGAGAGTATTATGTATTTCATAGAATCTCAGACACCAGGGCTTAGAAGACACACCTATATTTTGCGAACCACTAAGAAAAATGTTCCAATTAGAACTATGAAAATGCTTATCATTTGTACTTTTTTTTTTTTGTGTGTGTGTGTAGTTGTAGGTGGACAGCATGCCTTTATTTGTGTATTTTTGTATGTGGTGCTAAGGATCGAACCCAGTGCCTCCCACGTGTAAGGCAAGTGCTCTGCCACTGAGCTATAGCCCCAGCCCTGTACTTCTTTTTTAAAGATTTTTTTTTTGGTAGTGGTAGATGGACAGAATGCCTTTATTTTAATGTGGTGCTAAGGATCGAACCCAGTGCCTCACACATGCCAGGAGAGTGTGCTATCGCTGAGCCCCAGCCCCAGCCCACCATTTATACTTCTTATAAATTTATTAGCTTTTAAACTTCTTCAGATTTCTATCTTATCACACTTAATTCATATACAAAAAGAAAAAGGCGAGATTCATAAAATATCACCTTCTGAGTCCAACATTCTGAACTACTTTATTTTTTTGAACTACTATTTGACCCATTGTTTTCATTACTTGTTTCCCCAAGCAGTGCTGCCCTGTGTGTTGTGCTGAGTGTTGGTGATATAGCATTCTTGAAAAGTGTGTTCCACTGTTGGCTCCAGAATTTTCCTCTAAGCTACTGATAAGCATTCTGCAAGTTTTGGTGCTGGGCTATATTGATGTTACCAGAAGTCAGGTGATAGCCACATTCCAACTGCCACCTGCTGACAGTGATTGTGAGATGCATGAGATCCGGGGTATTTTATAATCTGCACAGTACAATATGATGGAGCAGGCAGCACCCTGCTTGATTTCCCCCAGACCCAGTGTCACATTAAATCTTAAATAAGGCTTCATGACATCCAGTCAGTTGGAATGGAGCCCATGATTGGGCTACTTTGAAAAACTGAACAGATCCCACTGCTGTAATGAATCAGACATGAATTTCCTGTCTCAGTAGGAGTCGAAGGACATGCTTACACTTTTTGCATATGGTACATACGCACTGCAACTGTAGGATGACGCCAGCTCTGAAAATGTAATCATCAGGTAACTATGCCCTTTTGATAGTTTCATGTTAGATTTCTGACAAGAACAAGACACTGCATGTTTGGTGGATTCCCAAATGATGGGAATGGACTGGACTGCGAGGTCTGGTGCTGACTTCTGCAGCAGGACATTTTAAAAATCAGTCAAGATTTGGAAAAGCTCTTGGTTCACATTACCCCAGAAAGGTGGGGAGGGACTTCATTGTATCCCTCTTAGAGTGATAAGGCAGTCTGCAGAGAGGACCTCCCCTCAGGTCTCCAGAACTAGAGAAAGAGGAGCTATGCCTCTCCTTTCTCCTTTCCAGAGTCCATTCTGTGGCCAGTTCTGGCTTTTGGGTTTTGAGAGGGTAGGAAGGGGGTGGTTTTGAAAGCTTTCTCCACTAGTCTTTTTTTTTTTTTAAATATATTTTTAGTTGTCAATGGACCTTTATTTATCGATATGTAGTGCCGAGAATCAAATCCAGTGCCTCACACATGCTAGGCAAGCGCTCTTCCACTGAGCTCTAACCTCAGCCCTCCATCAGTCTTGACAGGGACAGGTCTATTCCTGGCAACACTGGCTTAGGGAAAAGGGGCTGTGGGACCGTCATACCCAGCGCCACAGGAGGGCTGGCCAGAACAACTTGGCTTTATGGCCCATAGTTCATTTTAATTGGGGTTGCCAGGGATGGGGAAAATTGGTGACAGGAAGAACTTATGGTGGGCTATAGAGACTTTAGAGACTTCAGAGTTTTTCAAGTGTTATCAAGCCAGCAGGCTAGAGATAGGTGTTAGCTCTACCAGAGTAGTTTAAATAATCCCCAGAACCATTAAAAACACACACACACATAAAAACAAAAAACAAACAAACAAAAAAAAAACAGTGCCTATGACATAGCAAAGATGGAGCATTTAGTTTGCATGAAGCTTTGAGGTAAAGCTCCAGCATGGTTTCATCCCACCTAAACCTCTTGTTGGGTTCCTCCTCTTGGTGACCTGTGCTACTTGGTGAAAGGTGGTCAGCCTCTTAAGACTTGCTAGCACTCTCAAGAGTCCACCTTCCTTGTGCCCTAATGCTTGGGAGAGGTGTTATGAACTATCTTTCTTAGACCATGAATTTACTTTTAATGAAGAAAGGTTCCTTCTAGTTAGCATCTTTGTGGCATCTGGAACTGGAATCAGTCCATGGAGAGTGTTTCTTCTGGTGGGCTGATGTGGAGAGTCAAGCCAGCCAGCAGGAAAGAATTCTTTGAGACAAACAATTCCCATAAGTCCATGAACTTCTGGACTAATTTATTGGATGTGGGTGAGAGAAGGTAGCTGCAACACTGGAACTCCAAATACTTTTGCGAACAAAAGGGAGCACTTTTGACCTCCTCATGTCCTCACTGTTGCTAAGAAGCTTAGACATGCACCTCTTACCAGGTTGATGTGTGGGCTTACACTTGACTAATAGCCAAGACTATTATGGAGCAAGAAATCTTATTTGGCCAGGTGTGGCGGTACATGCCTGTAATACTAGTGGCTCAGGAGGCTGAGGCAGGATTGTGAGTTCAAAGCCAGCCTCAGCAATGTAGTGAGGCCCTAAGCACCCCAGGAAGACCCTGACTTTAAATTAAAAAAAGGGCTGGAGATGTGGCTCAGGTGGTTACGTGCTCCCGAGTTCAATCCCTGGTGCCCAAAACCCCCAAAAACCTATCTGCCTGCCTGGGATTTCTCTCCAACTTTAGCTACTTGAATCCACTCCCAAAGTGCTTTCAGTGTATATCCTGTCTGAAGATGCAACCTGAAACTTCTTGGACCTCTTAAAGTACTCTAATCCAGTGATTACCTTCTTTGGTTGATGACCCAAACCATCCTGAATTGCTTCCTCGGCAGAAGGGTCTCCAGCCCCACCTTCGGGTGTCCTTTCCCTCCCTAACTATCCACACAACAGCAGGTCACTGGTGACAACAGGACTTAAGAGCCAGGACTGCCTGGAGATGTAGCATACCATTGAGTAATTTCTGGGAGAGGAAAGATCCAGTGGACCTTGTACCATCTTTTAAGTCTGTGTAGCTAACCCCTTTCCAGTCAAGTCACAGATGGGATATTGAGAACAGAAGGTGAGAAAACAGGTTCCATGTTCACATGATTATTCTTCTTTATTGAGGTCTGTTTATTCTCAACGGGTGCTTTTTCCTCCAAGTAAATAAGCAGGCGTAAGTATCTATAATGAATAAATTTATTGTCTTACAAAAATCATTGTCTAGAAATATGGGAATACAAGAAAAGATATTTGCAGTCAGGTGTCTGGTGGTCAACAGCCAGTACAGTTCATACAGGGGGAAACCAAAGATTCCAAACCCATGTGACAAATTCTTCCTAACAGATGTTAAAGCTTTCAACCCAAAAGGTTTGTGTTTTCAAGCACATTGCAGAGGATCAAGGATTTATAATTAACACTGATTTGTTGTCACTGAATGTTTATAATACCACTTTGACTAGAGAGGTACATGATATGAAGCACAGTCAAAACTTAATACATTAAATTGTTATAGAGGCAAATAATATATTTAACATTGTCTTAGTACTGTAGTGTCTAAGGCACTTTCTGTAATGTCAGTTTGCTTAACTATCAACCAAAAACAGAATGCTAAGTGTTCACTGTAACACTGTCCAAAACGAAGGGAAAAGGAAAAATGAAGAAGGATTCACACCCAGGGCATGTCAACATTCAGGCAGGTGGCATCTGTTCTCGAGGTCCTCAAAACCTCATTGACAAACTTGTAACAAGCCTCGGACACAAAACCAATATTCCCATTTTGGGCTCAAAGCAGCGGCTGAATTTGAAGTCAGCACAAGGGCCTGGCTGGCGAGGGAGGGCCTTCTGCTAGCTCCTTTGGGGGCCATGGCAGCTTGTTCCTGAAGTGAAGGGGGCACTGGCCAAGCCAGATGCTTCAGGAGACCATCTGGAAGTCACTGGATGGCTGTCACCTGAGGCCTCCGCTGTGTCGTGGCCACCACCCTCTTTATGCACAGACCAGCCCTGGCAGGACAGTTCACATGAGTAGATGCAGGGACACCACCAACTTGAGGGGCAGAGCCACCCCGTGGGAGATGGGTATGGTAACCCCAAATGGATGCGGCTTCCCCCAATCCAACCCACCCCTCCTAATCTTTCCGAAGCCCCTTTCACAGTTTGCTCACTGAAATAGTGATCATTATTTGAAGAAAATGAGATACGAGTGCGGTTTAGGTTCCACAATGTTCTAAGACTGGATGCGGCCGAGGAGTCAGGGCCACATGAACACAGAACTAAGTTACCTGTCTGTCTGACAAGAGAGCATGCAGAGCGACTGAGCAACGACCACGGGGCTGCCCCGGACCCAGCGACTGGCAACGAAGGGTCTGGAGTTTGCTTTAAAAAGGGTTCTTTTCTTAACATGTATTATAAAATGGTCTCTTGATGAATATATGGAAAATAGATGCAACGATGAAACAATCTGTTTAATGTGTGTGTCTTGTGTATGTATATATATAAAAAGGGGAGCAATTGTACCTAATCTGAAGCGGGATACAGTCTGTGTAGGCGGAAAGCCTTAAGACACAGTTGATCTTTCCATAAGGAATTCCATAGCTTGCTGATTCCTCACTCTGTAGGATGCCCTGGGCAGGCTGGCGCCGGGGAGTTCCTGCCTGTCCCACTGGATTGCCTCCTCTGGCTTCCTGTGCCTCTACTCGGATGGTGGCGGCTGTGTCTCATTAACATCACTGGTCTTACTTTCTGTGTCATCGTCTGACAGCTCCAGGGAAGCTCCTTCAATGTGCAGCTGACGCCGGCCAGATCGGCTTGAGGAAAAACTGATTGGGCCGCCCCGCCTGGGAAAAGAGAAAGCAGATGCACATGGGCAGATGCATAAGAACATGCGACCGTCACGGTGATCCACCCTCAGCAATGCTGAGTCTTGTCCTTGGGACACATGGCCTTGTGGGAGATGGGTACCACTGGGAGAGGCTTTGTGCTTGTCCAACCTACTGTCCCCGCTCAGGGGCACCCTGGCAACACACAGTGTACATGAAACAGTCCTCAGAGACCTGGGAATGGTCTGGTTCAATGTAAGATTGATGGAAATGGTGAGAAAGATGGATTAAAGCAAACTCTACCTGCTAACCAACATTTTTGATAAAAGGGCCAGATAACAAAAATCTTTTTAACAAATCCTTAAAAATGTAAAAACTAGGTCAGGGGTGGTGGCACATATCTATAATCTGAGCATTTGGGAGGCTGAGGCAGGAGGATTCCAAGTTTGAGGCCAGCTTCAGCAACTTAGACCAGTCTTAATGTAAAAAGGACTGGAGATGTAGCTCAGTGGTAAAGTGCTTTTGGGGTTCAGTCAGTACCTGCCTCTCCCCACACTCAACCAAAAAAAAAAAAAAAAAAACCCAACACAATCCTGTAAAACCATTCTTGGCAGCAGGGCAGGAGTCAAATGTGCTCATAGGCCAGTTGCTGACTCCTTGGCTTTTCCTAGGGAGCAAGCTGAACTCCAGCTGTCCCACACACTGTCCTCGCACTGGCACAGAGGAGGAACACACTGAGGGCCGACTGTGCCGGTTCCTATGGGGAGCTCCTGCTCTGCTTCTGAATGGAGACCGGGACCGCTTATGGATGGGGTTGTCTGGACATGAGCAGACAAGTGACCTAGCTCTCCAGCCTTGTGGTATGTTGCTTCAGTCCACTAGCCGTGACAAAGAATGAGTGGATCTATCTCTCTTTTCTCTTTCCCATGTACTATGTGATGGTCAGAATCTTTTTTCTTTTTTTTTGGGGGGGGTGGGGGGTACCGGGAATTGAACTCGGGGGCACTCAACTACTGAGCCACCTCCCCAGCCCTATTTTGTATTTTATTTAGAGACAGGGTCTCACTGAGTTGCTTAGCACTTTGCCATTGCTGGGTCTGGCTTTGAACTCATGATCCTCCTGTCTCAGTCTCCCAAAGCTGCTGGGTTTATAGGCATGTGCTACTGTGCTGGGCCAGAAATCTTGAATGCAGTGATTCAGAGGAAGGATGGCTACCTAAGGATGGTCTATGTGTGCATCTACCAGCCCGCCAGCTCATGTGCCCCCACCAGGACTCACCTCAGCCGGTTCTTCAGAGTGCTGACCTCGCGGCTCAGGCCTTCATTGGCCTCAGTGGCATCGTCCAGTTCCCGCTGGAGTTTACGTCGAGATGCGTTGGCACGGGTAGCTTCCTCCTCAGCTTCCTCCAGCTGCCGCTTAAGCTGCTTCATTCTGGCATTGGCCTTCTCCATCTTGGGGGAGTGAACAAACCGAGACAGCAAACTTATGAATTATGTGTCAGCCTCTCTGCACCCCGCATGTGTGTGAGCCAGCTCCAAGAGAGACCCTTGTAAGCATATGCATGTGTGCATACCTTTGCATGAAGTTACACACACATACTCCCTCGGGGGCTGGTCTATGGCTTTTAACTTGGCTGCCACTCTCAGCAAAGCCAATATCTACAGAGAAAACTCTTAACAAAATTTAAAATGAACTGCTTTATCACCTATGAACTTCCTGCAGAAAAATGACTCAGTCATTACTCAACTTGAGTAAACCCATGGGATTAGGAAAAGGAACTGCTTTCAGCATTTCTTGTAAAATGCAGAAGCAGCTTCAACAACTGGCAGCTGCATGAGGCTGCACCATGCGTTTTCACAGCTCTGGTGAAGCATGGGTGTTTCAGATGCACTACTTTGATATTCACTTTGGAAGATGGGCCATGAGCACTAAGAGCCGCCTCACTGGATCCTTCACTCCTAAACTGACAGGGACTGGCCTGTCACCTGTGGGTCCAGCTCACATCCACTCAGAATTGCCAAGCTCTGAGTGCAGGCAAGAGGAGAAGTTGGGGTGCCTGATGAGCAGGGCGCCCAAAGGGGAGGGTCCAGAGGGGACAAAGTCAGCAAATCCTCAGCTCTGTCCACCTTCCTACCCAGTGTCTGCAGCAATAAGATTCATCATCACAGCAGAGGGGGGAGAGATGGACAGAGCCACCCAGGCTGCAGTGGGTGCAGACTCATGCCACATTTAGGACACCTGGCTGCACACAAGGAAGAGCACTCGGTGCCTGCATAGTGCATTTGTTTTCAGTTTTCATTCAACATCTTCATCCCCTTCCAGCCAGACGGTATTCCGTGCCTGCCAACTATGCCCAATGACGTCCAGGCACCAGGGAGATAACCATGAGTGAAACTAAGGGAAATCTCTGCACTCTTAAGGTACACATTCTAATGGGTGATCAGATAACTTTGAAATTGAGTCTGGTCTCACACCTCAAAGCCTCACTGACTTGCTCTTGCCCCCTCATCTTGCCGCCTCTATATCCCTAGCCCCAGGAGAGCTTGCTGGGAACACAGGGTGGGCGCGGTAGTGCAAATGTTAGAATTAAGAATTTCAAATAGCATTTTTCTTCATTCTGCTAGTACGTTGTGGCATCTGGTTCATTTATCACCAGGCCCTTTGTTGAAGCACCTCCAGGGAGGCGGACACGCATCCTGCCCCGCTTCCTGTACCTGCTCTTTATACTGATCTGCATGTCGACGCTCATCTTCAACCTGCATGAAGATTTCCTTGAGCTTCTTCTCAGTACGACGGACTAGTTTGTTGGCAGCTGCTCGTTCCCTGTAAAAGTGATTATAGTCGTTTTAAAATTCTGGAAATTATAAAAGTTCTTTTTCTTTGGATGATGACATATTGGAATGCCCCATGGACCCCTCTTCCCACACTAACACCATTAATATGGCTTTGAAGCATTTTTCTTTTGGTCAAAAAAGGAATTATCTTTAGTGTGGCCCTCACTGCTGACACGTAGAAAAAGCATACTTTTCTGCACATGCAGGTATTGATCACTTTATTCAGTGATCTTTTGAAGAGTAAATGTCACACATAGGCTACCTATCAGTTATACTGAAAGACCTAAACCTTAGTTGGTCAGTCTAACCACCTAACCTTTTTGCCTGAAAGATAAAAATTCCACTTAAGTGGGCTGTGATTATAGCTCAGTGGTTGAGCGCTTGCCTTGAATGTGTGAGGCACTGGGTTTGATCCTCAGCACCACATAAACAAACAAACATAAAATGAAGCTATTGTGTCCATCTACAATTAAAAAAATATTTTAAAAAATTCCAATTAAGTGATCATCTCAATTTAGAATTTACTATCTACCCACCTACCTACTTAAGATGCTGGAAGCTTTAGCAGCAAACAAAGACCATCAAAACCCTATGCATTCAACTGGCTAGAAGTCAAACAAATTGCTATGTTTCCTGCATGGGACTTTGTCCCTTAAGGACGAGAGGTAACTTATTTGGAGGATTTTGTGGAAAACAGAAAAGATTCTTTGTTCCTTAAATGCTATGAAAAAATGGATTGCAGTGGGGTCAGATGAAAGGTCAAGTTATGTTAATCACAACTAAAACAAGACCTTAATTGTTTTCTTTCAGCCTAGTGGAGTCTCAAGGGGAGTGGGAAGTACTGGGAAACAGGGTTGGGAGGGTGCTGGGCTCAATTTCCCTAACATGGAGGTGAAGTGGAAGGTTGTCTCCAGCTCTGGCAGCCTATGATTTTAATAGCTGCATAAATGTCTGCCAAGACTATATGGTGTAATTCCTAACAATTTTCACCATGCTTTAATATATAGCAAAATGGAAACTATTGAGCAACCTCTTCCTATGGGGGGGAAAAACTGTTTTTCTTCTCTGCCAGCAAACTGCAATATTTCACAGGATGCCACCAACCTGGGAAACTGACTTAGGGTAGAGATATAAATTTAACAGTACCTAGGAAATCACAGGCACAGTGAATCCAGGAGGGGCTGACAAGCAGGCCAGCCTGTGCCATCTCACAGGTGTCCTCCGAAACTCTCCCTTCTTTCATGGCTCATGGCACCTTCTATCTGCCACTCTGGTCACATGTACTCCTATCATCCTGTTTCCCTGCACTGGGAGCACCCGGGACAGGGTGCATGTCTGTGTGGAGTCTGATACAGACTGAGCCTGAAGCCTGCTCTGTGGTAGATACACAGTGAGTTATGGCTGAAGGCAGCAAGAACCTCTTACTTGGCTTCCTGCTCAAGCTGCTCTTCTAGCTGCCCAATCTTGGCTTCCAGGGCTGAGATGGTAGCCTTGAACTTGGACTTGACAGCACCCTCCAGCTCCTGTAGCTTGGCCTTCAACTCCTTGTTCTGCCGCTCCAGTTGCTGGCGTGCATTGTCACTCTTCTGGGCGGCACTGCGTTCAGCCGCCAACTCTGTGTTCAGCGTGTCCACCTAGAAGAGGAGGATTCAGTCATTCTTGCCAAGAGGCAGCACAGCCCCTCCCGGGGACGGCTGTCTAAGATGGCTACCTGCAGAGTGGTCTTGCGGAAGCGGTCGTTGAGCAGCTCCATATTGCTCTGCTCCTCTTCAAGTTCCTCCTCCAGCTGTGCTATCCGCGCTTCCAGACG